AACTCCTTGCTTCCGCTTGTGTATATTCAGTTGTTCCAACAGCATCTGTTGAAAACCAACTTTTATAAACTAGAAAATATCAGTGTAGAAAACTTAAGTAATGGGCAAAAAATTTGTCACCTGTAAATCTGATTGTTTCCTTACAGTTGTTTTCCTAAATACTAATGTTAATAATAAGATGTTATTTTATTCTTATCAACCCCGAGGTAAATATTGTTAGCTCCATTTTGTAGATGAGGAGTAGAGGTTAGGAAATCTGATTTCGGTATACATGGTGCAGCAGGATTTGGACCCAGATTGTGGAACTTAAAGGACTGCTGCCCTTATACAGTATGCATGTATGTTGTGAGTTTAATTAGGATTACAAGGTATATGTAATACTGTTTTGGCCTTACACTCACCCTATGGACAAGTGAGTTAATACAAATGATGTTATCTAGTAACAACAAAAACACTAATAAATATACTCTGTGACCACCACTGTTCAAGTCTTTTCTTCTTGTAGTATTTTTCTTAGTTTATAGTGTTTGGTGTATTCTAGATGCCAATCTTGTATTATAGATGGCATTATAGGTGTAGTGGATATATTTTAGTCTGTGGCTTTTCTTTGACTTTTTTCATAGTTTTTAAATTTAATGTAGATTACCAGGTCACCAGGTGATAGCTTATGTAATTTTCTTATATCCTCAAGTCAAAAACACATTTTATGGCTTTTTGCTATGAGTTTTAAGAATATGACTTTTACATTTAAGTTCTTTTCCATTGGGTACTTAATATTTATACACAGACCTTTTTAAATTTAATTTGATTCAGTGACCTTTTTCACCCCCATATTGATAATCTATTTGTCTCAGCACTATTTTAGGGTAAAAGTTCTACCTGTTATCACTAGGTGAAATGTCTTTAAGTATCAAGTTTCCATATATGCATGGATTTTCCCATTGGCCCTTGTCCATTCTTGAACCAATTCCATGCTGTCTTAATTACAAATCCTTCTCCTTTTTCTTCAGGAATGTCTTTGTTATTCTCTTTTCCTTTATCCCTCTTCCATATTTTAGGATCAGCTTGTCAGGCTTCATGGAAAACAGAATTTTGAATCTACCTATTAAATTTGGAGGAATTGACATCTCTTTATTTTGGCTGCTGCATTTTAAATTTTTTTAAAAATTGTATTGATTTGCTATTCATTGACAAATATAGAAAGTTGGAGAGTATACAACTTCACACCTCCACAGGAGCACATGCTTCACTTGCTCTGTACCAAAGCTTCAGGGCCAATATACTATACTCTTAACCCCTTCTGTTTCCTCTCCTCTGCCCTCCTACCCCACCCAAGGATGGGGTAAAATAATAGTTTTCACAGAGTTCAAATTGTTTTGTTTTGTTTTTAATGTTTTTCCAGTTTTTTTTTCTTTGGTTGTATTTCACAAATGAGAGAAATCATATGGTAAATTTTCGACATTATAGGCTTCTGTATTTTCTGTGGCTGCTACTCAGCTATGCCTGGATGATTTTAGAATAGTGCTGGAAAAGTTTTTAAATCTAATCTCTTTCTACTGAAGTAGAAATTAGAGGTGTAGGAGTGTTATAGAACTTGTTCGCCCCACCGTCTGTCAAATATATCATAATAAAAATGGAAAATAAAAGTTAAAAAAAAAAGGAAAAGAAAACCTGCCCCCAATTTCATAGTCATTGTTAGAATCTTCACTAGAATTCAGGTATACTTCTCCTAGATCAAAGATCTTGTATCTCCTTTTGCCTCAATATTTTAAGTTCTAGAATTTAAAAAATATATAGTTGTGTCCTGATTTTCTTATTGTAATTTTTTTCTGCTTTACTCCCTTTTCAGGCTGGATTAGAAAATCGGCAGCTGGACACAGTAGATTTCTTTTTGAAAAGTAAGGAAAATCTTTTGAATCCATCCTCAAAATCTTCTGAACCTGAAGAGTTTGATTACTTTCCATCCCATTTATATTTAAGAAGTAAGTAGAAAAAAAAAAACTACATATGACATTTTATTTTTTCAATCACTTTCGAAGTATTACTGTGTTTTCTGATTGTTTACTTGCCAAAATTAAGCTATGCGATTTCTATACTTTGTGGGAACTTGACTTGTAAGAATCTGTTAATGTTCTCATTCTAAGTGTTTGTGGTTCATATACTATACAATGATTTGTATTTTTAGTACATGAAAAAGAGTTCTTTCAAATTCAAGAATTTTATTCAAAAGAGAATAAAATTCATTTGCAAAATTGTCTACTCTTACAGCTGTCTAAGTGTAAAATAACAATGCACTGTCTAAATTGTGAGTTGGGAACTGTTAACGAGAAATTTTGGCTTGATTTGTCTGCTCTTGCTACACACCAATACTACTTTTCAATATTTTCGTTTTCTGTTTTAATAGCTAGGAAACCTAGCTTTTATTCTTATACCAGGTAGCCAGGAAAATCTTCATAGATAATAAGGATAATAAAAATATCCTTCTTAGAAGGATAGAACAGTGTTTTCCCCTGTATGTATAATTTTATGATTTTTTTTTCACTTAATATAGACATTTTTCACAATAATAATAGGTATACTTGTTGGCATGGAATTGCATTATATGGTCATCACCATACCTTCCAAACTCCTGTTAGACATTTAGATTGATTAGAGACACATACACTGTGTATGTGTTTTGTGAGTATAATTTCACATATGTGTAATTATTGGGATAAATTTCTAAATATGGAATTTCTAGGTCAAAGGGAGATAAAATTTACATTCTTAAACATACTTAACTATGCTTTTCAGGAAAGCTTTATCAATTTGTATTCTAGTTAAATGGAGAAAATGACAACTTCCCTCACTCCCCTTCAGTGCATCATATATTCTCACTGAAGATAGGGATTAGAATTTTCTTTTTTAAAAACCATTCTTGGGCCCTCCCTGGTGGCGCAGCAGGTTAAAGCACAGCACTGAGAAGCTAGGGCCACTTCCGCATGGGTTCGATTCCCTCCTGCCCTGGAGGTGGCCACATGGCATGGCAGACCTCTCCTGACCCACCCGCTGCTCCCCTCAGCAGTGTACTTCGTCGATCTGCCTGTTCTGCTCCCCGCTCTGTCTCTGGTGAATCCTCTTGCCGCCCCTGAGCCTCTGGCCTGTACCCCAGTTCTGTATGCACAAATAAATAAATCTTAAAAAACAAACAAAAAAAAAACATTCTCAATTGAGTGCAGTTTGGGCTCCTTTCTCTCAATTTTTAAACTTTGTTTTGTCCTGATTTTTTTCCTTTTAATTGGCTTACCATTACAAAAGGAGGCCTGGTTTGTGGTGTTAAATTGGTCCCCATCTTGAGATGTCACTTTGTAATAATACCACCTTGTGTGGTAGTAATCATTTCTGTTGTTCAGATTTCCGCGATTTCAACTCACTTCACTCTCACTTGTTCTACTCTCACTTTGCACTACTCTGCACTAAAGGGCAGGATAGGTCTGAAAGTAAAAATTAGGGGAATATGTTACCTGCTTTCCTAGAGGAAAACCCATGTTTCCCATCATTTTGACTCATACAGAAGCAATATTCAAGGTGGAGCCAATGCTGAAATAAAATGAGGGGTCACTTCACATAAGGACCTGAAGCTGGCAACGGGAGGAGTCAGGGCCAACGTTCCATGCTTTCACCTGCGTGTTTAAAAGAATGGTTTTGGAATTAAAACCAAAACTTGGCTCTGCCACTTACTTTCTAAATTAGCTTGGGCAAGATTTTTTTATCTTCTCTGAACCTTAGTTTTCTCATTTATGGAAAAAGGGCTATAACGCCCATCTCTTAGGTTACTGAAAGGAATAAATGAGATTGCATTTATAAAATAGCAGGTAAAATATTGAAAATAGTAGGTGTAAGCAAAATAGCAATTGCTAGAAATACAAGTAAACAGTAATGGTACTAAGAGTCATTAAAGTTTGCCTGTAATATGACATCATGAAACGTTTGTGAGCTTTTTGAAAACAAGACACTAGTTCTTTCTTTATGTTTAAAAATATTAGCAGTGGGCCCTCCCTGGTGGCGCAGCGGGTTAAAGCACGGCACTAAGAAGCTTAAGCCACTTCCGCATGAGTTTGATCCCCGCCTGCCCGGGAGGAGATCCACATGGCGCGGCACCAGCCCGCTGCTCCCCTCAGCAGTGTACTTTGTCAATCTGCCTGTCCTGCTCCCCACTCTGTCTCTGGTGAATCCTCTCACCCTCCACATCTATGGCCTATACCCAAGTTCTGTATGAATAAATAAATAAATCTTTAAAATATATATATATATATATTAGTAGCATTGTATTCTTATTGGAATATCCTAATGATTTCTCATGTTAATTTCTTTGGTTCCTTCTCAGATGTAGAAGAGCTGACACCTGCATTGGATTTACTTTGCTCAGCAATTAGAGAAAGTGATTCTGAAACCCAAAGCAAACACTTTTCTGAACAATTGCTTAATCTTACACTGTCCTTCCTTAACAAACAAATAAAGGAACTTTTTATTCACAATAAAGGTAAGAATAACAGCAAGAAAGGGGTCACTTGTAGCTTTCTTGTGTCATAAGTGGTTTTATTACAAGTGAGAACATAAGTTAGTAGAGTGCAAATTTCTAAATTTGGGCAAATTTAGTATAGTAAATAGTTGAGTGAATGAAATGGTGTAATACTGGGGAAGCTGGCAGAAAGACCTAAGACTAATAATTGTGAAGAAGATAAAGGGTTATATTACTACACAGAGCAGCTGATTGTAAATAACGAAAATCCTAAAGATTTATTTTTTGAAATTTGAAAACACTGAGTTTAAATTTTTGGCATTTTCTAAAATTCTTTTAACAGTTTATGATGATGTCTTTCTTTGGCACATTAAAATTTTCCATAGAGCTAGATGAACATCTACAGAAAGGAGTGAACATTTTGACCAAATACATTAATGAACTTCGAACCTTCATGATAAAGTTTCCTTGGAAGCTAACAGATACTGTGGAGGAACATGATGTAAATGAAAATGTCCCCAAAGTAAAGGAGAGCGATATGTGGGAGAAACTCAGGACTGAGGTAAATAAGAGTAGTTATCACTTCTTTTATTTCCCAGAACCTGAGAAGATGGTAGAAGAACAGAATTTACAATCTAGAAACTTGTGACTCAGAACCTTTGAGAAGGATAGTAGTTTTAAACATTTTGGACTCTTCACATAGGACTTTAAATTTTTGTTTACAGCTTCATTTATTTAATTCAGAACAGTCAGGCTACCTCTTTTAATGCCAGGTTTTCCCACTTGATCCAGTAACAAACACCGGTCCCCAAACTATTTGAAGTGACACACCCTTAGCAGTATTTCCTCAGTGGCTTGGGCCTGGCACTTTGGGCTTAGGCATTCTGCTTGAACTTTGGCTAAATCGAATTACTGTTTGTGATTTGATCTAGGAAATAACTGAATTTGAGTCCTATCTCAGATTCTAGTTAAGACATTTACCCAGTTAAGATTTCAGTGCTCTTCTATTTTTTTTTTTTTTTCATAGTAAAAAATCAACACTAAGCATTTGGTTTTCTTTTGACTAGAGACTGGCAAAATCCCTCCACCCACATGGAAAATATTGGTATTGGAAAGACATTAAAATAGCCTAACACAGATAGAATCAGTAAGGAATAAAAGTGATATGGTTGAGATGCTACCAGTTTCCCACGATTACTGTTCTTGAGGTGGAAAGATAGAAAATAATTTGTGCGACTGCATGTTCTGTGTCTTTCATTCTCTAGACAAAATTTACTTAATTTTCCATTTTTTTTTTTAAACTCTTTCCCAGCCTTTTCAGAGGTTTCTCTTTCAGTTTCTCCAAGGGTCCATGGTCCCTGCTCTCTCTCTTAAAAGTCACTGATTTTTTAGCTTTTTGAAAGGTTACAGTTCACTGTGATTAAAAACTATACTGTCTCCAAAAATGTTGTGGACGTGTGCATACATAGGATGTACACATACACACAATTTTGCTCATCTTCTTTATTGGTAATAAAATATAAAAGAACTTAAGACAGATGTTTTTCTTCCCTTCTCAAGGAGGTTATTTCCAATGCCATTTTAAGTAACAAAATACCAGAGGCACAAACTTTCTTCAGGATTAACAGTCATTCTGCCCAAAATCTCGAGGAACTGATTAGGATTGGCCTAGATTTGGTCTTTGACAATTTAAATAAGAACAATATAACAGAAGCCTCTGAGCTTTTGAAGAATATGGTGAGTGGCATAATCTGTTTACTTGATCTTAAATTTCCTAATGTAAAAGGAGATGTCTGTGTATTTCATGTAATTTTTTTGATAGAAAAATTGATTTGTATTCATAGTGTGTCACAAACTCGAATTTTATGTTTTTAGTAGAAATAGTGACATTATTAATATGTTTAAATGTTCTTTGATAGTGAGAACTTAATCTCGAGTAAGATTTTTGATCAGAATTTCTTTATCTGCTCTCCGTAAACTTGGCACTTTGGTTAGAAAGAGGCACTGTTTCTCATAGAAACATCTAGTATCACCGTACTGGTATTTGTTCATGTGACACTTTATACACCCATGTAAAAATTCTAATGCCTTATAAACCTTTGTTTCGTGCTCTATGATTTTACTACTTCAAGAAGGGAAAGTTCTTGTGGTTTGTTGTGCCTTTATGCTGAAGACCAGCTTCATGTAGAAAGGGTCTCCTGCAGGAAAGGACAGTGTCAGTGAAGGAAAAATTGAGTGAGAGAGAGAAAAGATGAGGTAGAAAAATGAAGAGAAGCAGACACCTGTTTAGGGTGAAAGCATCTTCTGCCGACTGTCCCAGCAGGTCTTTATTTATACATTACAAGAAGTGGTGGGATTACATCAGTGTGTGCATAAAGCAGAAAGCTTAACAATCATCACATTTTTCTTAAAGACAGCTCGGGATCTCTTATTGAGACTGTGATATTCATCATTTTTTAGTTAAATTTACAGTTGATATATGAGTTGTCCTATAGTGACCAGTTAATGATCAGTCATCAAACAAAATATTTCTACAGTGATCAGTTATCAAACAAAATGTTCCTATGGTGATCAGTTAGCAATATACAAAATGTTTCTATAGTGATCAGTTAGCTATTACAACTTAAGCAGTCATTTTGTTAATATCTCAATGAACATACATCTTAAAGAGACAGGATCTAATGTTAAGGAACTAGGTGTCAGAAAAACACCAACGCCAAGTGCACTGACATTTCCCTGCCCCTAAGGAAAAAAACTCTTTTTTGATTGATAAAAGGAGCTTCTATTAATCACTATTTCTGCAATTATTCTGTCAACCTAGTCCCTATATCTAACATAAGAATTAGGGGAAAATTAGTTTCTTTATGGTCACTAATTATTATCCTATTAATCTTATCTAAAAAACCTTTCTATGTGAAAAAGGGTTGGGGTGAAAGTTAAAGGAAAGAGTAGGAAAACTTATTTATAATCCTATTACTTAAAACAAAACTATGTTACTTAAAGCTATAGATCTTTTATTGGGGACTAGGCAGGAAATTATTGCAGCCTTTAGTTCCCAGAATTCTTGGACCATGACATGTCTCTCGTTATTGTGGGACATAGATTTGTGCAAGCCTCTCAAGCAGAGGAATAGTAATTATTTTACAATGTACTGTGCCATTCTGTGTACAGTGTTATTGTTATTGAACCAATCAATCCAATCAAGTAATTATTGATTTTTATTGGATGTATATTTGGACAATTGCTATGCTTTTTGGGAACAGCCAAAAACAAACCATACTTCTTGGAAACAGCCATAAACAAACGAAAAGAATCCAGTAGGAACCAACTGTGGAATATCCTGACTTCAGGATTTTTGCCCCCATGTCAGGGTCTTGTCATACAACGTGGGTAGCATGGCCCTCTCCATCTTTGGTAACTTTCTAAAGGTGCAAAGAGTGGAACCATGTAAGAGTTTGTTGTTTGTGTTGACCTTTGTCAAGTCAATAATAGCAGATTATTGACTATAGTTTTGGTCCCATTGTGGTCTGGCATTACCTTAAATTATTGTTTTTGTCGGCCTTTGCCCTGGCAAAATGCTTAGCTTTTGAAAAAAGCAATAAATATGTATGATGAGAGGGTAGAAAAGGAATGTTCACGAGAGCAGGAAAGCTGTGAGATTCTCACTGAATAATTGTCTATAATAGAGTACTAAAGTATCCAACATGTTTCATTAAAAATAGCTCCACTACAAAAATACTGGATGGTTTCATTTATAGCATGACTATAAAGGACCAGGGGAGAAAATAATTATAATAATGAACAACTATATATCAGAGACATTTTATGGGGGTAGAGTGGGAAATGGAGTCAGAAATGGGGGTGGGAGGAAGTGCACTGGACTATGGTGATGGCACACGGGTGATTTGGTGATGGGAAGCCCACGGGGATTACAATTGAGGTGGAAAAAGGCACAAAATGATGTAAAAATGAACATTATTTTTAAAAAAATTAAAAAATAAACTATGTAAAAAAAAGTAGCTCCATTACAAAATCTAAGGCTTTTAAATTTTATGTGTCTGTTACAGGGCTTTGATGTAAAAGAGCAACTGCTCAAGATATGCTTCTATACAACTAACAAAAACATAAGGGACTTTTTGGTAGGTAAAGGTGAGACTATATAGTTTACATTTTTTGGAAAGCCTTGGTGAAATTTCAAAATAAATTATTTAAATATTCACCTAATACCCAGTAAGTAAAATAAACAACTCGTTTTGTCTTCAAATTATTATTTATAAATCTCTAGAAAATAAAAGTATTGCTTAGCATTTCTGGCAAAGGAAAATTGGTATGACTATATAGATTTACTTAAAAATTTTAAATACAGTTCTTGATGGCCCTCCCTGGTGGCGCAGTGGGTTAAAGCACAACACTGAGAATCTAAAGCCGCTTCGGCATGAGTTCGATTCCCGCCTGCCCCGGAGGTGACCACATGGCATGGCAGACCTCTCCTGACCCGCCCGCTGCTCCCCTCAGCAGTGTACTTCGTCTATCTGCCTGTTCTGCTCCCCACTCTGTCTCTGGTGAAGCCTCTCACCGCCCCTGAGCCTCTGGCCTGTACCCCAGTTCTGTATGCACAAATAAATAAATCTTAAAAAAAAAAAAAAATTCAAGGTTGTCACCAACCTTGTAAATGTTAAAAAATTTTAAATACAGTTCTTGAATGGCATTTAATCTCATGACATTTGTTTTGCAAATATGCATGATTTTTATGTGGTCGCTGTTTTATTTACTGTTTGATTACTTTTTATTCAAGGTTGAAATCTTAAAAGAAAAAAATTACTTTTCTGAAAAAGAAAACAGAATTATAGACATGGTATATCAAGTTGAGAAGTTTTATTCAGGACAGTTTCAAGAAAATTTACAGATCCAGTCCTTTCCCAGGTAGTCTCATTACCCATTTTTATAACATGAAACAAGAATACTGTATTTAGGTTATAATTGTTAGTGAACACAGGTTTTTTCTATGGAACTGAACTTAACATTCCCAATGCAGGTAAAACTTACCTAGATAAATTACTGTTTCAGTATTTGCACAATCACATATATTTTTAACATACTAAATACATAGTTAAATGTACTGAATTATCAATTCTCCCCAAGAGTGGACTTTCATGGGCAGATCAAAAGGAATGTTGTTTTTTCCTCCAAAATTAAAAAGGAAACCACTCTTTTAGGTTTTGGATAAAGGAAGAAGAGTTTTTCAAGCATAAATCTGTTTTGGACTCCTTCCTGAAGTATGATCATAAAGATAAACTTAACCAAAAGGACCACAGAATTGTGTTAAGTTGGGCACAATGGTGGAATCCACAAACACAAGAATCAATCCTGCTTTCTAGAACAAGTCCAGAAGGCAAGTGTAAAAGGGTGAAATCTGAACATAACTGAGTGATAATTAAATTAGGTATTGGTATTTGAATATTTTGATGTATTTCCATTTTAGAACTCCTTTTGGATAAAAAAATTCTTGCTTTAAAATGCAGGTCATTGCTGTAAGATCTCTTGTCTCAATGTTTTTGTAAGGCATTTATAATGTGATAAACAGAAAAAGTATGCAAGGTTAAGCATCTCATCCAAGCTTCCAAGTGATATTCGTTATCTTTTCCAACTAGTCTTACCTGTATCACATAAGGGCTCTGTGGAATAACCATATTAAACCAGAGAGAGTCAAATTCATGTTTATTATTACAGCCAAAGTTTTTATTAAGAAAAGGGAAAAAAGAATTGAAAAACTAAGTGAAATACACAGCTAGTTATCACATTTTATGTGATGAAAACAACATTTAGCTCTTCCTCCAACTGCAGTATAGCATTAATTATAAATGAACAACACAAAAGGGAAAATTGTAAAAGAAGCAAAGGGTCCGAATAATTCATTCTTATATTTGCTTAAATTGTTTTATTTACGCAGTTAATTGTGTCAATCACAACTCATTACATTTTAAAATGTATTTTTTTCTCTATGTAGAATACAAATCATATTCCCCTGAAGCCCTCTGGAGATACCTCACTGCTCGCCATGATTGGTTAAGCATTGTGTTGTGGATTGGGGAATTTCAGACCCAGAATAGTTATGCTTCACTTCAGCAGAACAAGTGGCCCCCTCTAACTGTTGATGTTATTGATCATAATACTTGCTGCAACAGCTACATGAAGAATGAAATTTTAGATAAATTGGCCAGGTATTGTAAATTTGGGAATGAATAAAAGGAAATGAAGGAAGAAATAATGGTGTAATTTTTCCTTTCAAATGACATAAATCCAATGCAATGTTGTTTCATACTTAAATCCCAATTTTTATTATAATATAAATTAAATTATGCAGTAAGATACTTAAATTTTAAAGTTTAAAGGGCATATGATTTTTAAATCATATGCACTTATTAACATCATGTGTTAGTGAATAGGCCGCACAGGTACTAGATATAGGTTCTTCCCAAAACAATAGTGTGCTTTGGTATATAAATGGTAAACTGTCAATATACCACAAAGATCATGTAGCAAGCATGGAAATGAATCTGTCTTCTATCCTATAATGTCTTCCACTCTTCTCAGTATTGTCACTGCACCTCTATTCAATGTATGACCTTGAACTAAAAAGGATTGATGAATTAAGAAACAGTGAGGAAAGTAGCTTTTAAAGTAGTAAAGATGTTAAACTTTTACTTCATTTCTAAAAATAATTCTCTTAGATCAAACTGTATATGAACTTGTCATTTGTGTGGGTCAAAATCATTCAATATTAGCAATTTCATCTGTTTTCCTAAACTATCAAAATAATGAAGGTTAATGATAGTAAGTTTATATGTGCCTTGGAATTATAACGAATTGACAGTCTTAATTTGCAAGCACTTATTTTTGAGTAGAGACTGCAGCAATGAAAGTGATTTGGTTTGCTCTGAATCTAGCAGCCATCTTTTAAATCTTGCCATCTTTTAAATCTGTCCAATAGGAATGGAATTTTTCTTACATCTGAGCTAGAAGACTTCGAACTCTTGCTCCTAAGACTGAACCGTATTGGGGGTGTGATGCAAGATACTCTCCCTGTTCAAAATTACAGGTCCAAAGAAGGTTGGGATTTCCATTCTCACTTCATTTTCTATTGTTTGGAAAATAATCTGCAGTATCTTCTTTATGTCTATCTCAACTATTACAAGTGAGTACTGAGAACAGATGATCCTCAAGTAAACTTTCACATTTGCTCTTTTCCACACTACTTCTGAATTTGACTTTTAGGAAAACATTAAGCACCAGCATAAGGAATCTTGGAAATAGTCTCTTTGACTATCACCACCCACAACACATGATAAATTTTCTAGTTCTGTGCTACATTCAACTAAATGTATATGTGTGTGTGTGTGTGTGTTTTTATGATGGTAATTCTGTAACACATCTGTTAACCTTTTAATAACTAGAGATAAGAAAGAACCGCTTTAAAAGTTTGAGAGCCAGATTCTAATGATTTACTTGAAGGTCTTTAGTACTTTTAATACCAGGAAAATATTCAACAACTTTCAGTTCATAGTCACTGTAAGGTATGTTGGAGATACTCTAAAACTTGTTTAGATTGATAAAGAGATCAACTTGTGCAGAATTTTAGCTCTGGCCAGGTTTAATTACTATTGGTCAATTATAACAGTGAAGAAGTGGTGGGCTCTTAACAGGAGCATTTGTAATGTTCTTTGCACTAGTCTGTATTTTAATGCATTATCTCATTTAATCCTCACAGAAATCTTACAGAGTGCTATTACCATCTCCATTTCACACATGAGGAAACTCAGGTTTTGAGAGAGGCTAAGTGCCTTAGTTAAGTTCACTCAGCTAGTAAATGAGAAATGGGGATTTAATTCTTTGTTTGATTCTAGAGACAACATTCATTACTAATGAGAATATTTTTATTTTGTGTAGTAAAGACTTGGAATTTAAACAGGATTTTTTTTGGTTCATATCATTGAGGCTTATTTAGACAAAGTTATAGGCAAGTGAGTAGATTTAAAAGCTGTTTTCTCAGAGGACCTATTCTGAACCCTGACTTATCAGGCCTGTTGTGTAAAGGCTTTTAAACACCTCTCATTTAAAATTGCTCAAACGTTTGCATTGTAACATGAAATGTTACATACAATAATAAAGTATCTTAAAGTATAAGGTAACTGTTAACTTTATGTATAGTTAGTAAAATTTCATCATAGTAATAATGTTTTAAATGTTATTACTCCAAACTTTTCCCTATTTCCAAATAATAGGAATATGAAAAAAAAATACAAAAGTGAGAAAATATTATGTTTATTTATTTTAATTCTAAACATCTATTTTTTTTTTTAAAGATTTATTTATTTGTACATACAGAACTGGGGTACAGGCCAGAGGCTCAGGGGCAGTGAGAGGCTTCACCAGAGACAGAATGGGGAATAGAACAGGCAGATCGACGAAGTACACTGCTGAGGGGAGCAGCGGGCGGGTCAGTAGAGGTCTGCCGCGCCATGTGGTCACCTCCGGGACAGGCGGGAATCGAACTCATGCGGAAGCGGCGGCTTTAGATTCTCAGTGCTGTGCCTTAACCCGCTGCGCCACCAGAGAGGGCCAACATCTATTTTTTTTTTTTTTTTTAATGCTAGTTATCACCACACTGGTTCAAATTGTCTGTCTTATCCTGTATGTTGTAATCAAGTTTGTTTTTATATCTACAGACTTAGTCCTCCAAATTGTCCCTTTTTGGAAAAAAAAGAACTACATGACGCTTACCCGTGGTTTGAATTTTTAGTTCAGTGTCGACAAGTTTCCAGAAATTTAGCAGGTAAACACAATAATTCTGTAATCTGTTGAATGACATTTAACTAGTGAACTTGTTCAATAACTGATGTGGCTTGTGGCTGCAGGCAAATAACTGACCATAGCCTAGTCTCAAACTTTAGAAGAAGACTAAAAATGTTAGCCTCTTGTCAACTTGGAGCAGATAGTATGTGTAGTTATGTTCCCTTTCTATTTTTAATTTTTTGAGTAATATCCATACTGTTTTCCATTATTAAGTGCCTCAATTTATATTCCCACCAGCAGTACAAAAGGATTCCCTTTTCTAACATTTGCCAATACTTACTGTCTTTTTGATAGTAGTCATTCAAACAAGTGAGGTACTACCTTATTGTGGTTTTTATTTGCATTTCCCTGATTATTAGTGATATTGAGCACTTTTCATTTACCCTTTGTCTGCATCTATTGTCTTTTTAAAAAAAAATTCCTGTTTAGCTCCTCTGCCCATTTTTCAGTCAGACTGTGGTTTTGCAGTTAAATTGTATGAGTGATACTTTGGATAGTAACCTCTGTAAGGTACATGATTTGCAAATATTTTCTCCATTTTATTCACTTGATTTTTTTTTAAGATTTATTTATTTATTTATTCATACAGAACTGGGGTACAAGCCAGAGATGTGGAGGGTGAGAGGATTCACCAGGGACAGAGTGGGGAGCAGAACAGGCAGATCTACGAAGTACACTTCTGAGGGAAGCAGCGGGCGGGTCAGGAGAGGTCTGCCGGGCCATGTGGTCACCTCTGGGGCAGGCGGGAATCGAGCTCATGCGGAAGTGGCTTAAGCTTCATAGTGCAGTGCTTTAACCCGCTGCGCCACAGGGAGGGCCCACTTGACCTTTTCTTTTTAAAAGCTTAAACCTTAGTCTATATTGTTTCTGATATAGCCAACAATTATTCATTGAGCTCCTGCATTGTGACAGACTGTAGGTGCTAGGGATACAACCAGAAACATCTTTAGTTTTATAGACTACTTTTTACATATAGTAATAATGGCTTTAAAATTTTCTCATGTCTTTAGAGGCAAGGACCATTGTAAGGCTGCATAATATTTCATTGTATGGGTATACTCTTATTTAGTTTACTCTTCTTTCTCTCTTGCTTTCTTTTTTTTAACATGGAAGCTGTTTTAAATTTTTCTTCACTATAATAATTGTGAATGTGTCTGACCATAAAAATGTTTGTCCTTTCAGATTATTTCCTTAGTATAGATAGGTTCCTGAATATAAATTTACTGGATCAGTTAGACACATTTGGAGTTTCTTGCTATTTCTTTTCAGGGGGTTTATACCATTTTATCCACAGGACCCAGCCTTTGTGCACTCAAACTAGCCTCTGGACTTGAGGATAATTATTTTTTAAAATCATTGCCTATTTCATGCAATTATTTTAACTTGCATTTCTTTATTGCAAGTGAATTCATATTTTTATGCATCAGGCATTTATATTTTCTCCTATGTAAAATGATTATTTCTTTTGTCTATAATTGTTCAGAGTCTGTATTTTGGGCTTTGGTTTGTATTAAGTCATTATTATGAATCCAATCAAAATAATGTTCTCTTGATGAGGACATTAATTCTTAGGTGTAATTTACTGCTAATTTGTTTTCCTTATTTCATTATTAACTTTAAGTTTCTCTTTGTTTGAACAGAGATTTTTGGTTTTATATAGACAAATCTTTTGTTTTTTTCCCATCATGTTTTTCCATTTGCTATTCAACTTTTCTAAAGATGAACAGTTAAAAATTTTTTTCTCAGAATTATTATAGCATTTAAATCTTCATATTTCTCTCTCTTAAAAAGAAAAACATTCTGGCCCTCCCTGGTGGTACAGCGGGTTAAAGCATTGCACTGAGAAGCTAAAGCCACTTCCGCATGTGTTCGATTCCAGCCTGCCCCACATGGTGTGGCAGACCTCTCCTGACCCGCCCGCTGCTCCCCTCAGCAGTGTACTTCATCCATCTGCCTGTTCTGCTCCCTACTCTGTCACTGGTGAAGCCTCTCGCCACACCTGAGCCTCTGGCCTGTACCCCAATTCTGTATGTACAAGTAAATAAACCTTTAAAAAGAAAAAAAGAAAAACATTCTTTTATTTTCTAGATCCCAAACTGATCTTGCAGGCCAGTCTTGCAAATGCTCAGATTCTGATTCCCAGCAGTCAGACCAGTGTAAGCAGTATGCTGTTGGAAGGACATACTCTCCTGGCTCTTGCTACCACAATGTACGCTCCTGGGGGTGTCAGCCAGGTATGGGCAGCACTTTTTACCTATTATTGTGAAGCAAAATTGATTTTAAGTTTAGCAGAACTATCTATAGATTTCCTAGATCTCAGGTGATATTAAAACATACCACATACAAGTGTTTCGATAGATTAAAGAGTCCAACTCCAGAGTGAATTTTCCAATTTACATCAAAAGGGACTAACAGGTATATAGTAGAGAAATTATTTCCCCCTTTGTTTTCTAATAATTCAAGTGTGTTTTCAGGATAGAATGGAATTTGATTGTTCTTGGGAGTCAGTGTACTTCAGATCTGTTGAATTATTTTCTGCTGTTTGCCCTCTAGAGTGAGAAAAGGGAAATCAGGATCTTTTGTTACCTATATAATGTCTGCTGATGGAACCCAGTGGAAATTTGCTCAACTTTGCTTTTTTGAAAGTATGGTGTGCTTTGTTAAAGGGAACTTAATCAAGACTGCTGTTAACTAATCTTAAAATGTTTTAACTGATAACTAGTTTAATGTAATACCTCCTCTTTTAGGCTGTTGCATATACCTTAGCTTAAAGGTTAGTTATTCCTGTTTTTAATCACCTGTCAAAAATTATAGAACAACTTTATTGCTGAGGGAACTAGAAGTCATCAAGTCTACTAGTTTTTTCATCTTTCAAAATATTTACCACTTATTACCTAATGAAATATTTAACATTTAAATATTTTAAATACGGTAGCAGGACCTGTTTTCAAACAACTTCTTCATGTATAGCTTAAAACTACTAATCTGTAATTCAGTTTCCAAATTTTATAGGTTTGGGAACTGAGGTCTAATATTAAATACCTACCCCAACCTCACATAGCCAGTTTGTCTTAGAACCAGAAGTAGAACTATTGGCCTCTGACTCCATGTCCAGTGCTATTTTCACTACCATTTACTCTCTCACACTAAAATACCGCTTCACAGGTTTTGATGGAAAAAAGGACTTACATTTGGAAAAGGGAAAACCGTTACATCCTGCTATCCATCTTTTTACTTAGGTTGTTCAGAATGAAGAAAATGAGAACTGCCTCAAGAAAGTGGATCCCCAGCTTCTGAAGATGGCACTAACTCCTTACCCCAAGCTAAAAACTGCTCTCTTCCCACAGTACACTGCTCCTAGTGTCCTGCCACCAGATATTACACTCTACCACCTTATTCAGGTACAATGTTTAGAAGAATCAGTCAAAGTTAATTCAGGAAAACATAAATTGTTATAGATTTTCAAATGAAGAGAATCTCTTATACAAAGTGACAGCAAGATGGAGAAATCAAACATAATGGTGAGACAGCCCAAAAATTGACAAAGAATACCATTCTATCCTTAAGGTTGCAAGACCAGTGCAAACTAGTGTTATTAGAACCCAGAAGCTGGTGCCATCTCTAGAAGCTAAGCTCAGAACCAGGCCACTTAGTGAGAGCTGAAAACAGAGGTAGGGCTGGACCTTTGAAGACATGGCCTCAGAAAACAAGGAAGTGGAAAAAATCTTGGTTACTCTTCTTTCCCCACCTTTAATCTCCCACAGTGTCTCTGTTAGCTAAAAGACAAACAAGTTTGGGAATTGTATTTCTCTAATTACAGGGCAGGGCAGGGAAAGGGTAGAAAAGGCTCTGAGAGCAAATAGGTAGTTGAGCAGCATACGTATCTCCTGCTTTCATCAAAAGCTGCTCCATTCTAATACTGATAATTTCTCACTTTTGGTGAGTAGGGCTATTTGTTCCCATCAATCAGTGCTTCTTAATGTTATTCACTAGTATCTCCTTAGCATTGTGAGAGTTGTGAGTCTTCTACCTAGAAAAATTGCACATAAACATAATTTTGTTTATATTTCAAAGTAATCCCAGATTCCCTTAAAGCCTACTCAAGGATCCATGGTTAAGAACACCTACAGGTGGTGCTGACTTCTCATTTCAAAAAGCTCATTGCTTTTTTCTTCTGGGTATACTCGTTCACATAGTGTCTTCAATTCAACATAACCTCTATAATCCTTAAAGGTACAGCATCCTTAGTACTTTTACGATGCTACTCAGAATGTGGTTCCCAGTTGGGTGCCAGTGCATGAACTACTTGTTATTATGTGATGAGATTAGAATCTTATATAGATTTTAATGTAAATCTACAGGTGCACTTTGGATATTACAGGTTTCGAACCACTACAATAAAAGCAAATGTTGCAATAAGACACATCACATAACTTTTTCAGCTTCCCAGGGCATACGAAAGTTATGTTTACACCAGACTGTAGTCAAGTGTGCAATAGCGTTATGCCTAAAAATAGTCTATGAAAAATTTAACAGACACAAAATAAGAAACTTGCTTGACTCAAAGTTGACACAAACCTGCAATATGTAAACTTATTATCTTTGAAGTACAGTAAAGCAACGTAATAAAATGAGGTCTGCCTGTATGTAAGCATACACTGTTTAGTCCAGCAGCTAGAAAAATTTTATGTAGCAAGACTTTATTGAAGAAGGAAGCTGTATGCTGGATTTATATTTTGGCACAAGCTTTTTAAGTCAGTGCTTTGAGTAATACCATCATAAACTATGTATTAGCAACTTAAAATAGCGGTTAGTGACATAAAATAGTTTTTAGTGACATAAAAATACAGTTTCACTTGCCTAAAGTGAATCCAGTTGTCCTAAAACATAAGTGGTTTCAGGTTGCTTTCAACTTGACAAAATATTTTAGCTCTGTTATTTTAAGAAATTAATTCCTTAATTGACTGCAAATTTTACCACAGCTTGAAATCAAAGATGCTCTTTCCTTGGCCATCCAAATCTTGATTTAATAGTATATACTTCATACCATCTGTTTATAGTCTTTGCTAAATATTTGGCTTATGCAGATTTTAAAGAACTACTGCTCCTTGCTCTCAAACTTTTGTTATTTGCTCTTACAGTCCTTCACAGTGATGTAGTTGTATTTCTTTCTTATTCTAACCTGCCCTTAGCTTTCATTGTCATGTTTCTATTTTCTGGCCTTTTTTTTATCCTTTGCATTTTTATCCCAAAAGTATTTTCTAAAGCCTGTTTCACATTATACTTTATGCTACTTCTACCAAAGAAGAGTATATTTTGTAGATACTGTTTAAAAGGAACATAAGTAACTTGATTTTTATTAACATAGAAAAATGTCTTACACATTCTTTATTAGTTTTTACTATGTTCAAAGGGTGGATATCCAGAAAGATAAGGTCTGTGACTGTATTGGAGAAGGGCAGTTGACTGCTTGTGAAGTTTTCATGTAATTTTGTTTACTTACTTTAGAATCAATTAACTTTTAACTCTGATTTGACTTTTCCCCCTTTTCAGTCATTATTGCCCTTTGATCCTAGCAGATTGTTTGGCTGGCAGCCTGCCAACACATTAGCTATAGGAGGTAAGTCATTATTGTACTTCTCACTTTAGAAGCATTTTAAGACTGTTGGCAATAAAAGTTAACTTATCTATAGCTAAGCCAGTTTTTCTACTGATTTCTATTTTAAAAATAAGGGTGCACTCCAGTGAAAAACACATACCAGTGAAACAAATTTTAAGTTATTGTTTTGGTCACTACTGCTGTACTGACTGAAGTGGTCTATATACCTCTTTCTTTTCCAAAAATCCCTCTTCATTTGCAGTATACTATTATAGAAGTCACAAGCATAGGTATTAGCACTAGACAAAGTCTGGCTCTACCGTATAGTATTTATATAACCTTGGGCAAGTGATTTAACCTTTCTCCAGTTCTCTGTAAAATCAAGATAATAACCTCCCAACAACCTGTTACATGAGAATGAAAGGAGCTAAGGTATTTAAAACATTCTGGCAGTTTCTGGCGCATAGTAAGCACCAGAGGCACAGATATTTCCATCTTTTCAGTGTCACAAAAATTTCTCTGATTTGTGTGTGTGCGTGTGCACGTGCATCATTTTAAAATCATGCTTCTATTTCTTCTTTACTTTCACTTAGATTTAGTATTTAATATCATGTTACCTGTAGTTCCCTCACCTATATCATTCTAAGGTAGGCTCAAATTAAAACGACACCGAATATATGCCCCCTAAATATGATATACCTCAAAATGAATTTTCTAATGTGTCACTCTGTTGAATTTCCTTATTGTTCAGAGCCAAGGGTAGTGCCACGCCTATAAATAGATATTCTATAAATATTTGTTGACTGCTGAATAAAGTAGTGCTTTACAGCATTGTCAGATGAAAATACTCTTTCTAATCTCAGTAAAGGTCCTAGAATCTAACTTTTTACTTAGGTTGTTCAGTGAAGAAAATGAGAACTGTTCAAAAATGGATCACCAGCTACTGAAGGTGCCATCAGTTCCTTACCCCAAGCTAAAAACTTCTCTTTGCCTTTGTAGATGTTCTGTCCTATTGTGTCATACCTCCAATTCTGTCATTTACCAGAGTCTTGGCCCCCCTTGTGGAGATGTAGCACCCTACTAAATACATTAGAGGAACAGAGAAAATGTTTAAGGCGTGTTCCCAGCCTGTCTTTTAGAAGTTTCAAACATATTTGAGGAAACAAAGCACAAAGTAAATGAAACATTTATCGCGAAAGCATGTAAAATTTATCAGATTGTATGGTTATATCTAATTGGAAAGTTTATTTTTTTCCTATGATTTTACTAATAACTATGTGATTATTTGGCTTTTATGGCAGGCTCCAGAAAAATTTCTCTTTTGACTTCTTTCTCTTACATAAAATCTCTACACTAACCCTCAGTGTAAGACTCTTATTTGAATAAAACTCAATTTGCTCATTTGGTACCTCAAAATGCTGAATACTTTCCATGTATTCAGCAAATATTTTATGAGTTACTAATGTTACTATGATCTCACAAAGACTGCAGATGGGGCATGTAACAATTTTTCAATTTGGGGGGTGTACTTTTGCTTTGAAAGGTGACAGATACCTTGATGGTGGTTATAATAAGTTCCAAGTCAAAATACAAAAAGTCTTTAGGATTCCATGGGAGGATAACATTTTATTTCTGAAATAAGCCTTGAACTTTGAAAATAAGGAAGATGCGTTGTTTTCCAGGACTGGTTTCTTAACACTTCAAAATATTACTTTATTCCTTTTTTAAAAATAGGTAATAAGTGGTTGAGACTATTAAATACTAGAACTTGACAGAGGTATCATTTCATACAAATTGTCACATCTTCTGATTTTGTATTTCTCTAAAAAGAGAAAAAAATATTCTGCTATTTTCACCGGCACAGATGAACCTTTGAGTTGCTTTGCTGGTCTTGGGAGGATGGTACCATCCAGTAGTTAAGAAGGTGCTCTGTGACTACAACCTCAGAAAGTATAGTTGGTGATTACAAGAAGATTATAGGAGGGTATTATGGAGAAAAGTATTTATTGAGAAAAGACCTACTTTGAATCGGTCTTAATGCATAGAGTTCTCACATAAATAAGTTAAGGGATTTCTTTGTGTAATGAGCTATGTGAATGAATTTAAAAAGCTCCTTTTGCAGATCATAAATTTTTATGCAGTTTCATTCCTACTCGTTTTGTATAACATGGGTACTTCTACACATTAGAATAAAAATATTACACTTTGGTGATTCAAACTGATGCACAGTAACACAAAATGCTTATAGCAGCCAATCTTCTTTCACCATTGAGGAATTAAGTTTTCCATGTACAAATCTGAAATTAAACTTGAGAGATGGAGAGAATTAATATTGCTTCACTTTCTCCTTAGATGCAGTGAGTCATCTCCCACATTTTTCTAGTCCTGATCTAGTTAATAAATACGCTATCATGGAACGTCTGAATTTTGCTTATTATCTGTATCATGGGCGGCCATCATTTGCATTTGGTACTTTTCTGGTTCAAGAATTAACCAAGAGCAAAACTCCCAAGCAACTGTGAGTATTTATTCAAGTATAAGTTATATTTGTGTGTGTTACATGTGTACATACACAAGTTAAATGATTATATTCAAATAGTGATTTTTTTTTCTCATTTGTGCTTTTCTGTGTATCCTTTGTTTTGGCATTTAGCATGTATGACTTGTTGCTAGGAAAAGAGGTTTATATTTTAAAGTCATATATTTAAAAAATGATCCAAGAGCTACCAGGTATCTAAAGAGGGAATTCTGTAATAAGATATGAATTTTGAATTTAAGATCTTTGTCTTTTTTTATGACTCACTTTTATAAAGCACAGAACTATAAGGAATTTTTGATAAAATCAGCAGCTAAATATAGCTTTATTTACTGTTTGTTTTGTAATTAACAAAGTAATGTATTTTTATGGTGAAAGAGTGAAGTAGTTTAGAAGGATGAAAAATGAAATAATAGAAGTCCTGGCCCTCCCTGGTGGAGCAATGGGTTAGAGTGCAGTACTGCAAGCAAGTCACAGCTGCTTCAGTGCGAGTTCGGTCCCCAGCCCCGGAGGTGATCGATTGCATGCTGCAGACCTCTCTGACCCGCCTGCTGCTCCTCTCAGCAGTGTACTTCGTCAGTCAGCCTATTCTGCTCCCAACTCTGTACTTGGTGAATCCTTTCACTGCCTCTGCACCTCTGACTTGCACCCCAGTTCTGTATGCATAAATAAATATATCTTTTAAAAAAAGACACTAAATATTAAAAAAAAAAATAGAAGTCCTTCAGTCTCCAATCTTCATTCTACATAGTAAATGAACACGCTTAATATTGTGTGTCTTTTGTGAAACATTTTCTATGTATAGATAATGAGAATTTTTTAAAATGTGCTTTAAATGTCATTGATTTTCTTGGTAATTTGTGTACATACTCAATAAGGTCACAAGTTGGAAATTTTTTAGAAGTTCTATTCCACATTACCTGGATGAAGTTGCAAGCAAGAATATTTTGGGCTATGAGTAGTTAGTTACTTAAGGAAATGGTAAATATAAGGGAATGGAGGGCAGTATTTCCAGAAGACTACTATATGCTCCCAGGAACCTAACAGATGTGTGCAAGGGTCACATGAAAGGAAGCCGACAATAATGTGTCCGACATTTCATTTATCACTGATGTAATTCCATCTGCTTTTACTGGTAAGAAACCCTTCTGATGTGAAGATGTAATTTTTGACTCTTTTTCAGGATCCAGCAAGTAGGCAATGAAGCCTATGTTTTAGGACTCTCTTCCTTCAACATACCTTCAATTGGAGCTGCCTGTGTTTGTTTCTTAGAATTGCTTGGCCTTGACAGCCTCAAGCTCAGAGTTGATATGAAAGTGGCAAATACTATTTTGGGCTACAGGTGTCAAAATGAAGATGTTCAATACAGCATTATCAGAGAGTCTCTAGGTATAGCACTTTTCTTTAGTGATTTGTTTGGAGGGCAAGGGATGAATAGACCTAAGTCATTGAATTATGAGTACTTGGGGGAGGAAAAATAGTCACCTCTGATTTCATCCTTTTCCTGCAGTCTTTCTTTTCTAACTCACTATCTTGTGGATAGAAATGGCCTTTTCTCTTAATTATATTTCCTTGTTTATGATTCTTATAGCTGAAAAACTGTCTAAACTGGCTGCAGGTGAAAAGGCAACCATAGGAGAATTACTTCTTCTCTTAGAAGAAAGTATATGGAACAGAATTCAGCAACAGAAAATAAAAAGGTTTGTGGGTCACAATTCCCACCTCTTTCCGGCCAGACTTACTGTGCCAGTCTGTGTTCTTTTCAGCACCTGGGGTACATTTACCAATTCTTCTAGACCTGGCTTTTCTTACTCATCTGCGATCAGGTACTCAGCAAAACCAGTGAATTTTAATTATATTTTATCATCAGTAAAAGAAGGGTAAAGGGGTTAATTTTCCTCTTTAGAGATGGAGTTACCATGAGGTGGAAAGGGTCTTTGTCTCTTCCACTGCTCTGCTGGTCCTAGTATGTGTTACTATTGAAATCATTTTGGAAGATGTGGAATGGATTTCAGAAAATTTACCTCTAAGTGATGTCCTTAATTTGTTCTTGTTGATATCTTTTAGTTGATAAAGGCCTTACACATTAGTGCCCTCACACCTCTATATCCCACTGGAGCTGACTCAGCCACTTCTGACCGTAGGAACACACTGTTTTTCTCTTTGTCCTATAAGAGACTGTGTTCTCAACAGTTTCCTGCTTCCCATAGGAGTGGGTACCTACACCTTAAGAGTTCCAGGCACTGACAGGGCTCTGATACTCTAAAGTGAATCACACAAGAGAACTAGACACGCATAACATTTCCAAGTGATTGTTTTTTTACTTTCCTAAAGCTGGTACACAACTAGTTTGGAGGATGCCTGTTGATAAAAGGAGCAAATATGTCAGTGTGCTAAGAAACTGTCATTTCATTATGGCTTAAAGAGTCCTCTTTTTCTTCCCAAGCACTTTAATAAATATTTGGTATTTGTTAAAATGTTTTTTAGCGAATATCTTGTGCTTCAATTGAATTTTTACTAATATTCCAATTTAAACCTAGAATTTAAGTTTTTTTTCTCTACTGCCTCTATTCCCAATTACAGGTTATCCAGTGAATCTAGCAATCAATGGACATTAGTGGTACAGTTTTGCAGGCTCCACAACATGAAACTGAGTACATCTTACCTTAGAGAATGTGCTAAAGAAAATGATTGGTTACAGTTCATTACTCACTGCCAGCTTCACAGTTACCAACCAGAGGAGGTAAGCCATGACTTTTGCCAGTTATTCAAGAAGAGAAAGCTGGAACACTTCTTAGAGAACAGTGTTTTTCTGTCGTATCCACATGGGCTTTTGTTTAATGCCATACCAATATTTTTACTGAGATTTCAATGGATTGACTTCAGAGGACTAGCATTAAAAAGAGTAAAAAGTTTTTGTGACTCCAGAGTAAATTTTGAAATTCACACAAAAAGTAACAAATGGTTTTGTAAAATTATGTGTTTACCTGCAACAAAGGTGAAAAAGAGTTCAGGGTAAGAAATAACAATTATGCCTATGCTTTTTACTAATATTTTTCAGACCCAGCTGAAACTGAAAATTGGATGTATATTTTAATCCTCTAATATGTTTTCTAGGTGAAATCTCTTCTCCAGTATTTCAGCCCTGTCCTTCAAGACCACTTAGCACTAGCTTTTGAGAACTTATCCTCAGTGTCCAACTTCAAAAAGGACATTGAGCAAGTCTGCAGCAAGTCTCCCTGGGAACTTCAGAGAAACAAAGAAGAGACCACTGATTTCTTTGAAATCCTGCTCCACTGCTCAGAGGAGCCAAACCCCTGGCGCTGGCTATTGACTGAAGCAGTGAAACAACAGGCCTCTATCCTTAGTGTCCTAGCCTCCTGTCTCCAGGTAGGGGCCATAAGAAGCCTCAGTTAAGGACCCAGAAAGTAACAGAAAAAAATGAGGGGTAGGAAAAGCTGATAATGAGAGAGATAGTGAGATGATGGTGATGGCAATGAGGCTGTAGCATCTGATTCCAAAGTCACTGCAATTTTTTGTGTTTATCCAGCTTAGGCTTTGGGCCTCCCAGTGTCCTTCTTTGTGTCTTGCATTTAGTAACTTATGCATCCAGAGCCTTTTAACATACTAGCAGATGCTTTGGTGGACTTAACAACAGGATGCTCCTGGCAGTCCCTTGACCACCAGTCCAGTTTTGTTTTTTTTACACTTAACTGTGTCCCTGACTTCTATACATTCCCTTTGTCTTCTTGGCCTTTTGACCAACTGAACTCTGTGGCTTAATTTGTACTAGTCCCTTGGTTGTTCACTTGAGTTGTGTTTGAAGATTTTTAAAGCCATCTTGATCACTTTCACTTTCTAAATTGGAAATGTTCATCTGTAGTTGTAGCATTTCTAGACTTTCTCTGTTAAGACATCCAGACCAAGCCATTTTTTATATTTGAAGGATTCCATTTTTTAAAAAAGATTTACTTATTCATACAGAACTAGGATACAAGCCAGAGGTGTAGGGGCAGTGAGTGACTTCACCAGAGATGGAGTGGGAGCAGAACAGGCAGATCTATGAAATACATTGCTGAGGGGCATAGTGGGCAGGTCAGGAGAGGTCTGCCAGGCCATGTGGATCATCTCCGGGGCGGGGGATTGAGCTTCACTAAAGTGGCTGCAGCTAGCTTGCAATGCTGTGTCCTAACCTATTGTGCCACCCCACCAGGGAGGGCCAGAATTCTATTTTTAAAAAAAAATTTATTTATGCATACCAGAACTGGAGTGTAGGTCAAAGGTGCAAGGGGTTGAGAGGATTCACCAGACACAGAGTGGAGAACAGGACAGGCAAATTAATTGAAATACACTGCTGAGGGGAGCAACAGGCAGGACAGGAGAGGTCTGCCACACTATGTAGGTCAGCTCCCTAGCCAGGGATCAAACTCATGCTGAAGTGGCTACAGATAGCTTCATAGTGCTATACTTTAACCCATGGCACCACCCGAGAGGGCCTAATTTTGAAGAATTCTTATCCAATGACAGGATGCCAGTGCTGTTCCTTGTCTCTGTGTTTGGATCATCACTTCTGTGGAGGACAGTGTTGCAGCTGAAGCAATGGGACACATTCAGGGTTCAGTGGAGGGACACCTTTGGGACCTGGAGGACCTCACAATCATCTATAGAACATTATTAACAAGGCAGAAGAGCAAAACTCTCCTCAGAGGTTTCCAGCTTTTCTGTAAGGTAATGATAGTTTCTTTCTTTTTTTTTTTTTCCTTCACATGTTGCAAGGACAAGTTTATTAGGAAAAGGAGAAATAGAGAGTTAACCTACATAGTCAGAGGTGGGCAGAAGAGTTGCCAAGTTATTATTTCCTGAGTTTAAACAGGTTGCTTTAGAATATTCCCCCATTAGCATTTTGAATTTCCTATCCCTGAATTTTTTTTCCCCAAGCCAACAACAGGTAATAATTGAAGTACTTTTTTTATATTTAATTTCTTTATCTGTATATATTTTACATCAGGTGCAGTCCCCATAGAATTTCCACCACCAACTCACCTGTGCACCATCACTTTAGTCCCTTATGCTCTTCCCACCTTCATTTTACCCCCTCTTACTCCACCCCCTTCCCTGTAGCATGTCTCTGATTTATTGTTGCCTGATTATTTTTTTTTTCATGTTATCATTTTCCCCCTACTCCCTATTTGGTTTCCCTATATTCCTCCTTTAAGTGAAACCATCCAGTATTTTTCTGAGTTATTTCACTGAGCATAATCCCTTCTAACTCTATCCATGTTGCTGTAAATAGCATTAGATTAGCTTTACCTTTTTTGTTGCTGAATAGTATTCCACTGTGTTTATGTACCACATCTTGACCCAGTCAACTACTTTTGGGCATCTGGATTATTTCCAAGTCTTACCTATTATTAATAGTGCTGCAGTAAACATAGGGGTGCATGCATCCTTTTGAGTTAATATTCTTGTGTCCTTTAGGTAGATACCTAGGAGTAGAATCACTGGGTCAATTGTCAGCTCCATTTTTAGTAATCTAAGGAACCGCCACACAGCTTTCCATAGAGTACCACTTCTTTTTAAAAGTGCTAAATAATCCTACTTTTAAATGTGTTCTCTCAGTAGTACTATACAAAGATAAAATACTGTAGGAGAATATTATAAAGCAGTATTATCCTCCTTTTACAGATAAACTAAGACCCCCAGACTTAACATGCACAGGATCTCAAAGTACTTTAGTTAGTGGTACATTTTATTGTTCAATTCCATACTTTAGAATTCCAGAACTCCCTGCCTCTGATATTAATCCTGCTGAAGTGCTTGAAATGCCCACACATTTTTTTTGGACATTTTGAAGACACAGACACACAGGTTGTCAGTCCTTTGGGACCCTCTGCCCAGAAGTGTTTCCAAGATGTCCTAATGCCATCTAGTGAACTACCTCCTGCTCCTGTGCCAACTACAGAAAAGACAAAAAATAGACTCGAGGAGGTGTGCCAGCTTGAGTATTTTTTTTCTACAAGGAAATATAAATTTAACTTTTCTTTTTAGCATACATTATTCTGCTGTGAAGCTGATACCAAAAAAACTTTTTTTTTTTTTTACTTTGACCATCTCTTACATTGACACTACTCTTTGAGAAAATAGTGTTAAATTTAAGATTTTGTAATTTGATTCCAACTCTTTCTCCAAGGATTCCCCATTACTGTTGATGTTAGAGATGTATGAACTCTGTATGTTCTTCAAGAACTATAAGGAAGCTGAAGCTAAAATTCTGGAGTTCCAGAAGTGCCTTGAAACTGTAAGTTGGGATTATCTTCTCCCTGATCTGAGCTTGGTTAGAGTGGCCTGTTGTTCACTACTAGTCAGCATATGTTATGTGGCATAATTCAAACTCAATTGTTTGTACTGTTCTGGGGGGAGGGCAGCATAGGAATTGTAGTGGCCTTGTCCACAGCACCATAGATGCCAGGGATGCCAGACTGATTTTCTCCAAGTGGGCTAATTCTGACCATTATCTTGCATGCGTATGCTTTAACCAGACTCAGTGGGGAACGTTATCTGCTGAGGATACTGGAGAGGAGGGTGGTAGTTCACAGGCCGATTTGGTCTCTTCAAGACAGCTCCAGCAGCACTGACAACCTTCATGATCCCTGTCCAGATGAGGCTGTCTTGTGATCAGTTTTAGGCTTTACCTATTCAGGTGCTTGTTTCAGGCCTACTAATCATATGAAACTAATTAGGGTATGGTGAAAGGAAGTTACAAGAAAGAAAAAGAAATATCCCTTAGTCCTATCTGAACTTTAGCACTTTTGCCTTTTCTGCTCCAAAAAAACACTATGATAAATGAGACAAAACTATATACTGATTGTACCCAACAAATATACCACAGGGGAATCTCGGTGTAGCCTTTTGCTCTCAATCACATCGTTCTTAACTGTAATGATGATTTAAAAAGTTAATGTTATTTGAAAATATTGAATCAATTATTCAATTCATGAGTTTCCTAAGTTACAGAAAATAGGAACATTAATTTCCTTGGTTTACCATTCTGTGGCTTGGGTTCTACGAGGTATTTCCTCCTGTTATTATTACTATTATCATTTCTATTGTGTGGTAGCATATACACAGTGTTTAACATCTTGACTATTAAGCATATTCACATTGTTAAGTAGTCCATCCTATAACTCTTTTTACCTTTTTCTTAAAGATTTTTGTTGTTAATTTTTATTTATTTACGCATAAAGAACTTGGGTACAAGCCAGAGGTGCAGGGGCAGTGAGAGGATTCACCAGAGACAGAGTGGGGAGCAGAACAGGCAAATCGAGGAAGTACACTGCCGAGGGGAGCAACGGGCGGGTCAGGAGAGGTCTGCCACGCCATGTGGATCACCTCCGGGACTGGAGATTGAACTCACACTGAAGTAGCTGCGGCCAGCTTGCAGTGCTGCAGTTTAACCTGTTGCGACACCGGGGAGGACCCACTCTTTTTATCTTATAAAACTAAAGCACTATATACATTAAGCAGTAACTCCAATATCCCCTCTCCCTACCCTTTGGCAACCACCATTCTACTTTCTATTGTTCAGACTATTCTAAATACCTCATACAAATGGAGTCATTCTGTGTTTGTCCTTTTGCAGTATACTTATTCTACCTAACTTAATGTCCTGAAGGTTTATCCATGTTGTTGCATATTGCACTTTCCTACCTCTTTTATTTTATAGTTTTCATAGAAGATTTATTTATGCATCCAAGAACTGAGGTATAGGTCAGAGATGTGGGAGGTGAGAGGATTCATCAGAGCCTGAGTGGAGAACAGAACAGGCTGATTGAAATACACTGCTGAGGGGTGCAGCGGGCAGGTCAGGAGAGGTCTGCCACACCATGTGGGTCATCTCCCTGACTAGGAATCGAACTCATGCAGCAGTGGCTGGGGAGAGCTTCACAGTGCTGTGCTTCAACTTGTTGCGTCACCAGGGAGGGCCCAAAGTTTCCTACCTCTTTAATGATGACTGTAATCCACTAGATGTATATTTACATTTATCCTATTTTACCTGCTAGGAATTTTATTGTTAAGTCCTCCAAAGTATCTTCATTTTCTTGCCCCTGTTCCAGCCTCTTAGAAAGGGACAGTGTAGCTTCTTCACCCTTGTCTCAACATTTTACTTCATATACTTTACTTCAATCAGTTCCTCTGTGCATCTCTTCTTAGAGCAACAGAGGTAGTTTAATAAAGAATAATAAAGAAATAAAGAATGCTCTAGGGCCCTCCCTGGTGGTGCAGGGGGTTAAGGCACAGCACAAGGAAGCTGTCAGTAGCCACTGCAGCAATAGTTTGATCTCCAGTGGGGGAGGAGATCCACATGGTGTGGCAGACCTCTCCTGATCTGCCTGCTGCTCCCCTCAGCAGTGTATTACAGTAGATCTGCCTGTTCTGCTCCCCACTCTGGCCTGGTGAATCCTCTCACCCTTCCACTTTTGGCCTGGATCCTAGTTCTTGTATGCATAAATAAATGTCTTAAAAAAAAAGAAAGAAAGAAAGAAAAAGAATTCTCTAACTTAAGTTAATTTTAATAAGGATGTTCAGTTGGTTAAAGAATAAAATACTCTATAACTTTTGACTCTTTTAAGCTCTTGGTGGCCTTGGGCATTCCATTGAGCAGTCCTACTGCACTTGTAACTATGTCCAACTAAAAAGCCTCAGTGCACATTAGCTTTGCTTATAAAATGCTTTTTTATAGTATGACCAGAAGTACTCAGGAATATGGTGCCAAGACTTGGACCTATCCCAGTGCTAGGCACAGACTGAACAAATTTTTAGTGTAAGTCAGCATGAAATATACTTATTTTTTTAAACCGGACAAGTTTCTGTTATATCAAAAGGCCCATTATTTTTGTGATTATGTCGCATGAAGTCTAGAGTGAACTACAATGACTGAGGACTAGACAAGAGCATTGCAAAAGTGACGTATTACAAGGGATCAAATAAAATCCAGGAATAAAGTTATAGAAGCATCTTGTGGGAATGAATTGCTCTTTTTTAGACACTAAATCTTCCTCGTTCTGTAGCGTTGTAGATATCTTTGAAGCAACTGATTGTAAAATGAAGTTGCTACTCGGGGTGATTTTCCTATTAATATATTTAGCATTTGGGTCTCCCTAATGGTGCAGGGGGTTAAATCTCAGAACTATCAAGCTATCACCAGCCACTACAACATGAGTTTGATTCCCAGCCAGGGAGCTGACCCACATGGCACAGCAGACCCTTCTGTCTCCCCTGCTGCTCCCCTCAGCAGTGTATTTCAGTACATCTGCCTGTTCTGCTCCCCATTCTGTCTAGTGAATTCTCTCACCCCCCACACCTCTGGCCTATACCCCAGTTTTTTATGAATAAAGAAATATAATTAAATCTTTATAAATATACATATGCATATATATATTTACCATTTTGATTGTTAACAGTTTTAGTCTTAGATCCTTTTCTAATGAGTATATAAATTATAAGTAACTATAAGCTGGAAATTTGTTAAACAAAGTACAAGTTTTTCTAATCTTCAAAGTCAGGTCTACACCCCTCTCTGAAGTGCTTCTAAGTGAAAAATATTTGGTTAATTTCACAGCAACTCACAGGACAATTATGGTGGCAGTTACTGCGTGGGGGTGTTTGTATGCATTTACTCCATAGTGAGCTTTCAGTCTTTAGTTCTTTCTTCTATTTTTGGCTTTGATATAGACACAAATTTCTATACTAGGACATCCCACAAAGAGAGAGATTGCAAACCTGGCAAGGAGGGTTTATTTTTTTATATTCCTCTGAGCTCCACTGTCAGTTCCTATCATTTGAAAAGGACCTGGATAAGTCATCTCATAAAAGAGACCTCTCTTTTATGAGAGATGACTTTTGATGGTATCTTGACTTTCTTAAATGTTCCAGATTTGGAGATTTTGATTTGTTGTTCTTGTGAAACCACTTTTTGACCCTCTTTATTATTATTTTTTTTTAATAGCTAGAAACATCAGACACAAGGGTTGACACTATCATCCCTACCCTGTGGCTAAAGAACCAAGTGTGTTTTCTTTTAAAGCTTATGCTGCAGCAATGCAGGACCCAGTATGAGCTGGGGAAGCTTTTACATCTGTTTGTTGGAATACAACATCTCTTCTCTAATGGTAAGACAATCCTTACAGTTATGTTGTTAAGAGGTTAGTTTTCTTAATCTTGAAAATATCTTAGATGGAGATTTCAGAACTTTTTTTTTTTTTAAAGATTTATTTTTTATATATTTAGGCATACAGGAACTGCAGGACAGAGGTGCAGGGGATGAGAGTATACACCAGAGATAGAATGGGAGCAGAACAGGCAGATCTACTAAATACGCTACTGAGAGGAGCAGCAGGCAAGATAGGAGAGGTCTGCTGTGCCGTGTGGGTCAGCTCCCTGGTTAGGGGCTGGACTCATGCTGCAGTGGCTGATGGTAGCTTGATAGTGCTGAGTCAAGACCCAATTCAAGAACTTTAAATTCTTATCTATAACATTACTCTTCCAGTACAAAATGGGCTATGAAGAAAGAAATTTCGATTATGGTTGAAGCATTCAAAACATTGTACAACAGAATATAACATAAAAAATACAGCTATTGGGCCTTCCTTGATGGTACAATGGGTTAAAGCACAGCACTCTGAACTATCTGCAGCCACAGCAGATCTCTCCTGTCCTGCTCACTGCTTCCCTCAGCAGTGTATTTCAGTCAGTCTGCCTGTTTGTTCCCCATTCTGTCTCTGGTGAATCTTCTCACTCCCCACATGTCTGATCTATTCCACAGTTCTTATATGCAGAAATAAATAAAAATATATGGAATAAATGTTTATATCCTCTTCTCTTTGGCACAGGTCCAGATGTGAAGAAGCTATGTGCCCTTAGCCAAATTTTGAAGGATACATCGATAGCCATTAATCTTGACATTATTAACAGCTACAGCATTGAGAATTTTCATCATGAATGTAGATCTATTTTGGAAAAATTGGAGACAGATGGGAAGTTTGCTTTGGCCAGGAGGGTAGCAGAATTGGCTGATTTACCTGTGGACAACTTGGTTATTGAAGAGGTATCATTAGTCTTTTAAATTACTTCAAATCCGTTTTGAACCAGCATTAAACAAAGACTCAAATGAGATACATATTTTAAGAGACGAGGCTTTTATTTTTGTCACACACCTTATTTTCAGACTGGATGAGCCTGGGATAGCCATTCCTAGAAGAAAGTATGCTTTAAATGTAAGATTAACTTACAGGATATGTACAGTTATTTTCCTTTCCTCCTCTTTGAACCCCATTCAATTGGATACATTTAGAATTGTTTTTCATACAAGAAATTCCCAGATAGGATATTTACAAATCCAATGTTCTCTGATTTGTTTTGGTTTTAATAGATACGGTATACTTAGGGAGCTTTTGCATTTTGGTAAGTCTTTACCCAGTAAAATCTAAGTTTCACTTTGTTAAATTTCACAGATAACACAGGAAATGCAGGCCTTAAAACGCATTGACCAGTGGTCCCTAAAACAAGCAAGAATTGATTTCTGGAGAAAATGCCATGAGAATTTTAAGAAAAATTCCATTTCAAGCAGAGCGGCATCTTCCTTTTTCTCAGCCCAGGCCCTTCCGACAGGTGAGCATCTAACTGCAGAGGAACGGAGCAGCATTGAGGAGTGTCACCTGCTCCTCACCCTGGCAGGGCACTGGCTTTCCCAGGAGGACCAGGTGCCTGTGGACAAACTGGAAGAGCTGGAGAAACAGATCTGGTTGTGCCGCATCGCCCAGCACACACTTAGAGGAAAACAGGAGGCAACAGAGTTCACATATTCTCGACAGATCTCAACTAGCGGTGACATTTCCTTTGATAGCTTAGCAAGTGAACTTTCATTCTCCAAGTTAGCTGCTCTGAACACATCAAAATACTTAGAACTTAGTGACTTTCCGTCCAGAGATACTCATGAGAACAGACTAAATTGGAAGGAGCAAGAGTCACTAAGCTTTTTGATTGGGCGTCTACTGGATGGCAACTGTGTGCATGAAGCAAGCAGAGTGTGCCGGTATTTTCATTTCTACAGCCAAGATGTTGCATTGGTATTGCACTGCAGAGCCCTAGCTTCGGGAGAAGCTAATGTTAATGACATGCACCCAGAGATCCAAGCTCTCTTGCAAACTGCGGAACTCCTTGAGGCAGAAGAACCACCTAGCATTCCTCTAAGAAAAGTCCAAAGCAGTAAGTAAAGGAGCTCAAACTGCTCTGAGCCCTAAATGGTGTTGTTGAAACCTCTCTAGGAGAGGAGAGTCATTTGTGGCATAATAGTTACTTTAAATTAGAAGATAGCAGTTCTATGCCAGGTAATCCACAAACTGACATCAATAACTAGTCATTGAAGTAGAAACACATTTTTTTTTTAATAAGTTTATTTTTACATTATTTTGTGCCTTTTTCCATCTCAGTTGTAATCCCTGTGGGCTTCCCATCACCAAATCATCCATGTGCCATCACCATAGTCCGGTGTACTTCCCACCCCTGTAAGATAAGTTTACTATATATCTATTTACATTATTGTTCACTTTACAACAGTGTTTACTTCCCTCCTCCCCCACTTGTCATCACCGTTATTCTTTCATCCTTGATAGTCCAAGTTTACTCCCAGCTTCTTTTTATAGTCTCTCTGAAGGGCTTTCTTTGTAATTCATTCTAGAAACAGATTATCAGTTTTTCTTTATCCAAGAGTATGTATTTTACCTACATTGCTGAAGGATTATTTTTGCTAGTTATTTTCACTCAGCACTTAAAAATTTTTACACTACTTCTTTTGACATCCATAGTCTCTGGTGAATAATCTTCAGTCATTTGAACCATTGTTCCACTGTATCTAGTGCAGTTTTCTCTGTTTTTTTTTTTTTTTTTAAATACAGAACTGGGGTACAGGCCAGAGGTGCAGGGTGATGAGAGGATTTACCAAAGACAGAGTGGGGAGCACAACAGGCAAATTAACGAAGTACACTGCTGAGGGGAACAGTGGGTGAGGCAGGAGAAGTCTGCCACGCCACGTGGATCACCTCCAGGGCGGAACTCATGCTGAAGTGGCTGCAGCCAGCTTGCAGTGCTGTGCTTCACCCGCTGTGCCACCAGGGAGCGCCCTTCTCCAGATACTTTTTTTTTTTTTAAAGATTTATTTATTTCTGTATACAGAACTGGGGTACAGGCCAGAGGTACAGGGCTGGTGAGAGGATTCACCAGAGACAGAATGGGGAGAACAGGCCGGCTGACGAAGAAGTACACTGATGAGGGGAGCAGCGGGCGGGTCAGGAGAGGTCTGCCAGGCCATGTGGTCAACTCCGGGGCAGGCGGGTATCGAACTCATGCTGAAGTGGCTGTAGCTTCTTAGTGCTGTGTTTTAACCTGTTGCCCCTCCAGGGAGGGCCCCTCCAGTTACTTTTAAGATTTTTTTCTTTTATTTTCAGCCTTTTGATCATAGTGTGATTGGGCATGTGCTTCTTTGGGTTTATCCTTTTTGGCGTTCATCTTCAACATACAGATATATGTGTTTTGCCAGATAGTATGTCTTTCAGCTATTTTTCCTGCACTATATACTCCTGTCCTTCTAGGAGTCCAGTGCATGAATCTTAGCACTTTCATTGTCTCACAACTCTTGAGACTTTCCAAGCTTTTTTCAGTCTTTTTTTTTATCCCTCTGCGTTGTTCCAATTGGATCATTTAACTTGAGTTTCACTGACCTCTTTGGTATCTCCACTCTGCTAATGGTTTTTTTAATTTATGTGATTTTTAAATTTTAGTTATTTTTTTCTGTTTCCAAAAATCTTTCTCCCTTCCTCCCCTTTACTCTCCTCTCTCTCCTTCTGCTCTTCTCTGTTCATGGTGTCAGAGTCCTGTGTCTGGGTTTTTTGTTGAATGAATTCAGTGGGAGAAACGGAGTGAACGAGCTTACTCTATCTTACCTAGAACTGGAACCCACAGTGAAGGATTTTAAGCAGAAAGATAACATGTTCTAAGTTGTTTTTTACTTTTTGTCTTTAAAGGCTTTTTTAAAGGCATAATACCTACATGTTTAGAGTAACAAATCACACAATACAGGCACGTGTAAAAAGTGAGTCCACCATCACCACATTCCCCAGAATAACATCTTTTACTGATTGGCATGTCTGTGCTCAGGTACATATGCACACACAATTTATTTTGTACAAAAATGATACTGTCCTACATTCCCCCCCCCCATCAGTACATATATATAGATTGTCTTTGCCTATTTTTTTAAGAGAATTATAACTAGTTTTGACCATTTTAAAAAAAAGATTTATTTATTCATACAGGCCAGAGGTACAGGGGGGTGAGAGGACTCACCAGAGACAGAGTGGGAGCAGAACAGGCAGATCCATGAAGCACACTGCTGAGGGGAGCAGCAGTGGCGGGTCAGGAGAGGTCTGCCACGCCATGTGGTCACTTCTGGGGCGGAGCTCGAACACATACGAAGGGACTGCAGCTTGCTTGCAGCGAGTGCTGCGCTTTACCCACTGCACCACCAGGGAGGGCCCTGTCTTCACTTTTTAATGATGGCATATTAGACATATTATTCTACTTTATGGATGTATTATGGTTATTTAACAAAAATAAACATTTCAACTTATAAATAATGTTATATAAATATTCTTTGATACTTCTTTTCACTTAGAAAAAGAATTCCTAGAAACCGTTTACCAACTGAGGAAAGTCTTCTCTTTCAGGTTAAGAGGTTTTTTTTTTTTTTTCTTCTTAAGACAGGAATGGATTTTAATTTACTGTGCCTTTAAGGTATTTATCCAGAGGATACTGGATTTTTATGATTGCGTTTTAGAAAAATCCTGCTAAGTGGGTGTAAGATAGATTTGGGCAAAGGGAAAGCTAAAGTCTTTTAGATGCAGAGTGATGCAGACTTAAACTAAAGCAGTAATGGGAGAGATGTTAAGAGATAAACCTGATGACTTAATAAGAGGGAAAATTGTGATAAGGTGTGTGTGAGTAAGGTGTAGGTAACATCTTTTTTGATGAGCTCTGGAGTGTTCATTAGATAACTTTTAGTCTTGTAGCCTATGAAGTCTTTGAAATATTCTGAGCTGGAATTTCCTGTAAGAGGCAATGAAAGAAGTTTCAGTGGGGTGTCAGAAGTGATCCCAGACCCAGGAGAAGTCATAGGGGTGCAGCACAGGAGACTGAGCAGAGAGCCAGAGTCTAGTGGTCTGGGGAGAGGCCTTAACTTGCCAGCTTTAAGTCCTCAGAAATGTATTTGCTTCCAGCTTCAAGTTTGGATAGTCAGTCCTTTGTGATGTTGCCCCCCAGTGATGAAGTGGTGACTCATCTGGAAACTCTGACAAGCAAATGCCTCCATGGGAAGAGCTACTGCCGGCAGGTTCTCTGCCTGTATGAACTTGCTAAGGTATGTGTCAAAGAGATGGGCCTCACAGGAGGCTCCTTCTGAGACTGAAATGAGAAGTTGGGGGGGAATTTTGGACACTGCCAAGTCAGGCCCTTCAGCTAAGAGTTGTGACCTGGGAGTTAAGCTCTTACCAGGAAACTTTGGCATTTTAAATCCACCTCCAGGGAATAGTATGGAAGATTCCAGGCTAAGTTCTAGGGTGATTTGAGTCCTGGCTGCAGCTTAGGCAACCAGATGGAAGAGCAGGATATCTCACTTTTCTGGGCTCCACGTACTTGACCTATAAAAGGTTTTATTTCATTCTGAAATCTTAGATTTTACTTTAGGAGTGCTTGGAGCTTTCCATGTATTGGAGAGCGCGACATAAGTTTGCAAATAAAATGGAAGGTAGAGGTAGGGGTTGATTGTAGGTTTGTGCCAACTGAGGGAGAAAAATAGTCGACTTTAAGTGAGGTGGGAAGGGGAAGAACATGATAGAAATAAAGCTGAGCACTGAAGCACTGTGGGAACAGTGAGGAAGGGGCTGGTTTTTTTTTTTTTCCTTTTATTTAACATGTATTTCATAACATTTGAAAAGCTCAGCTTTCAATAAGAGTTTAAGTTAGATGATGCTTTCTAAAGAGAAATCTTTTTCTTGCTTGGACTAGGCGCATCAGTGGCAGTAGAAGGGATTAGGAAACAGTGTATACGATTAATGCTCCTCCTCGGTGAGATGGATCTTTAAACCCAAATGGTTGTCTCACATTTTCAAAGGGTTGTCTTTGCCAGCTTTTTCCTAGTTCATATCTTTGGCTTTGTCTTCCTTTCAGGAGTTGGGCTGTTCCTACACAGATGTTGCCATCCAGGATGGGGAGGCCATGCTCCGGACAATCTTAGCCTCCCAGCGGCCAGACCGATGCAAGCGAGCCAAAGCCTTTATCACTGCCCAGAGCCTTGAGCCAGATACAGTGGCTGACCTTGTGGCCGAAGAGGTGACACGGGAGCTGCTCACCTCATCAGAGGGAACAGGTGCCCTGCCCTCCAGACCTGCCCAGTCACATTCTCAAGATCTGAGCTTTAAGAACTTGAAAGTGGGTCTCTTATGTCCTGCAGGTTGCCAGATTGCACTTAGGAGAGTAGATTGCATTTCTTCTGTTGTTGCTTTTTGTTTGTTGTTTTGTGGTTAGGCTTAGAGCAGCTGTGCCTTTCTTTGACCTAAGGAATGCCTGTCCTACAAATGAGCACTTGGCAAAGGTATCTGTGCTCTGTATGAGGCTATGTAGAGACCTGCAGCAGCATTTCCCCTGAGCAGTGGGCCTCCGGTGTGAGGCTCTGATCAGTGTCAGCTCTGTCAAGGTAAAAACCAGTACCTTTCTCCTGTACAGGACACAGACAGATGTTCACTCAAGCAGAGGAAAGCCAGACATTGCTTCAGCTGACTGCTTTGTGTCAAGACCGCACATTAGTAGGCATGAAGTTGTTGGATAAGATTTCCTCTGTTCCTCACGGGGAACTGGCTTGCAGTAAGTTCTTGGCTATTTTTCAAAAATTTTTTTTTTATTCCAAGTAGATCTCCAGTAAGTCTTCCTGATTAGTTTTTCCAAAACTTAATTTCGACACCTGTCCCTATTCTGAATCCCTTCTCCTCCATTATGATGTGTAAATTCTTGGTAAGCAGCTCCAAATGTAAAAATCACACAAAAGGTTACCTTTTAACATTTGAGATACTTACTTTTACACATTACCCTGCAAAATGGATATTATCATTTCCATGTCAAGAAAGAAGAAACAAAGCTTAAGAGAGGTTGACTCACTTAATATTATTAAGTGGCAGAACTGGTATTAGAACCTAGTCTGTGATTTCCACGCCTGCTCACTTTCTGTGTCTGGACCACTGCAGGCTACATCCTTTGGGTCTGTTTCTAGGCAAGTCTCTTGGTTTTCAGTTTTCAAAACTGGCATTATACTATGCATACTGTTTACAGCTACTTTATGAGTACGGTGTCACTGACATCTTTTCCATAACAGTAACATTTTTTAATGGCGCACAGTATTTTTCTTATGTATATAAGAACTTTATATCCTATATAAGACCTTTGATTGTTTCCAGTTTTCTACCACTTTATACATTGATTAGCACCCCCATAAGCACATCTCTGCACATGACCATGATTAAAATAAATTCATGATTCAAGAGTATGCCATATTTATAATTAAATTTTACTCTAGGAAGAAAAAATTTAACTTCTGACTCCCCCTTACGGTGTGTGAAAGTATCATTTCCTGGGACCCATTCTACTTTGCATATTTATTTTATGTTTTTTAAATAGTAACTTTTTTTTTTCTTGGTTGGTTTGGATTCACCAGAGACAGAGTGCGGAACAGAACAGGCGGATCTACTGAAATACACTGCTAAGGGGAGCAGTGGGTGGGTCAGAAGTCTGCTGTGCCATGTGGCTCACCTCCCTGGCCAGGGATCAAACTCAAGCCACAGTGGCGACAGAGCTAAGACTTAACCCCTAGGCCAGGGAGCCTCTACTTTGCACATTAGATAGACCCCCAAAAAGTCATGTTACTGATGTTTATTGAACAAATAAATATTTAAAATAGCCTTCTGAACCATCCCATGAGCACTGTAGTATCATTAGCAGAGAATCCAAGTTCTTTGCCTCTCTTCAGTCAAAATTTGATATCAGTCAGAGAACTGATAAACATTTGGAGACAGATTTGAAATTGGAGAAATTTGAATTGAGAAGCAACTTACCAACTGTTACTTATTTCTATGCCAGTTCCTATTGCCATCAATTGAAGTAGAGAATGAAAATTATTCAGATAATTCAAGCTTTAAAAATATTTAATATCAAAGACAGTAGAAAAAGTGTTTTATGAACTGTGGAACTTATCTTTGTTGAGTAGTTTGTATAAGCCACTCTGACCCCATGTTAAAGGTAAAGGGAGTAGGAGTACCTGGTCACAACTCAGGCACATTCTGTGATCTTTTGGGGAGCAAGGGGGCAAATAGAGCATATTATATATGACATTTGTAGTTGGAATACTTAATATTTAAGCCAGGTCTTCCAAATACAAGGGAAAGCGCTTTCCACTAACCCGATTTATGGAGACCATTAACATTCTTTTCTAGCTCAGAGATTTGTGTTTTCTGCTGCCCAGTGATTTGTCTTCATGACTAAAATTCTGTGATAGAAAAACTAAGATAAAAACTGTATAATTCTCACTGACCTTAAATTGGATTCTGAGCACTCTGCCCCCATACCTCTTCCAACCCCTACAATTGTTTACTTTCAACAGTGTATTTATGTATTCACCAGAGACAGAGTGGGGAGCAGAACAGGCAAATCGACGAGGTACACTGCTGAGGGGAGCAGTGGGCAGGTCAGGAGAGGTCTGCCTCGCCATGTGGTCACCTCCGGGGCAGGTGGGGATCGAACTCATGATGAAGCAGCTTTAGCTTCCCAGTGCTGTGCATTAACCCGCTGCGCCACCAGGGAGGGCCCAAATCAGTAAATCTTTTAAAAAAAATTTTAAATGTCTTCTGTATCTCCTGTACCATTCTACATGATTTATTGAGTACAGGCTTTGTGCTAGATATTCTAAAAATCAGGGAGGTGGTGAACAAGTTGAACAGTAGTCTCTGAAGGGCAGTCTATAGGGGAGATATAATATAGGAAGTAATAGGTGCCAGCCTGATGGGATCAAAACATTTTGTGTGGATATGTTCAAACCAAGTCCTGAAGGATTAGTGGCCAAAGTTGCTCAGAGGGCAGGGCATGTGTTAAGTATGGGAACGGCTTTTTTTTTTTTTTAAGATTTATTTATTCATACAGAACTGGGGTACAAGCCAGACATGCAGGCGCGGTGAGAGGCTTCACCAGAGTGGGGAGCAGAACAGAGATTGACAAAGTACACTGCTGAGGGGAGCAGCAGGCGGGTCAGGAGAGGTCTGCTGTGCCATGTGGTCACCTCCGGGGCAAGCGGGGATCGAACTCATGCTGAAGTGGCTTTAGCTTCCTAATGCTGTGCTTTAACCCACTGCGCCACCAGGGAGGGCCGGGAACAGCTTTCTTTCTTCAAGTTTGAAGATTTCTCCCAGTTTGCCTTTTAATTTTGCTTACATTGGTTGTAATAGTTTTAAATTTGTGTGTATTACAATCTTGCATTCATCTAGGAAGCCAGCAAAAGTGTAGAATAATATACTTGACTAGAAGCTGAGAGATAGGGTCCAATAAAGGTTAAAGATTAGGCCACAGAGATACAGAGCTTCTAGACAGGCATTCCATCAGTTTGTCTACAGGCTGTTTCTTCATTTTTAGAAAGCAGGGGTTCCTTGTTGTGGTTGCTGAGCCTACTGGAAATGCAGTTACCGCATGACTATATTTGAGGATAGTTAATCGCTGTATTCTTACTGGCAAAATTTGGGTGTTGCAGAGCTCTAGCTAGTAATGCCAGGCGATTCAGAGGATGTTGGGAGAGCCTTCTCCTGACAAGCTGTTTGTACTGGGTCCTTCCACCTTCCTGCCAGCAACAGTTGACACCGTGGGTACCCTGGTACAGAGTTCTGTCTTAGTGTCTCACTTACCCAGCTACAGAGCTGCTGATCCTGGCCCACCACTGCTTCACACTGACGTGCCACATGGAGGGTATCATTCGAGTCCTACAGGCTGCCCGGCTGCTCACTGACAACCACTTAGCCCCTAATGAAGAATATGGACTAGTGGTAAGTAGCTCCCCTCAACCACCCTCCAGACAGATGGCCTGGGCTGTTCAGCCCTCTGCACCAAGTTATGATTTGTTAACATAACAAATCAGGAGTAAGACCAAGAGGGTTCCTGCCATGATCTGGGGCTGCCCTGTCAGGGCAGTTACTTTTCGCCTCAGAGTGCTGTGCTTTAACCTGTTGCGCCAGCGAGGGCCCCACCTTTTATCTTTCAATATAAATGAACTAAAAACTCAAGTCTCTTGTGCCTCCCCAGGAAGATGGCACTTCAGCACTTGATAGTCACACTTAGATACAACAACAGAGGCAAGAACCAGTGGTGTGCCAACAACTAGCATTTCTGAATCCTCTAGAGGAGCCCTATGTTAAGTACATGGGTATGAAGGAGGTGAGCATGGCAGCCTGGCCCCTAGAGCTTGACATTTGAAAGCAACCAAACTGATGAAGGTAATGGTGTTGCTCGGAGAATTCCAAGTGATGCAGTTAAGCATCTCTCCCTTTCAGGTGCGTCTCCTCACTGGCATCGGAAGGTACAATGAGATGACATATATATTTGATTTGCTGCATAAAAAGCACTACTTCGAAGTGCTGATGAGGAAGAAGTTGGATCCGGTAGGTGTACAGTATTTTCTAGGGTAACAAATACTGATATTCAGAGTTTCTTAGGAATTACCCCAGTCAAGGTACTGCTGGGACATGAGGAAGGGATTAAGGGCACACAGGTGGTAGCCAGTAGCTTATGGTTTTACAGAATACAGACCAGGAGCGATCATGCTGACAGAAATGCAGGAAATGAGTTTGTCCACCTCCGATAAGCTTGTCAGGCACCTGTCTCTACTCCGAATGCTTGTTCTGGCAGGGCTAAAGCCGCATGGAAATGCATTTGGCCAGCTCAAGAGGCTGTGACTTAGGATTCTTGGAGTTTCAAGTACCAAGAAAAGGTGTGTTGCTGAGAGGTGTTAGGGAGTGAATGGCAAGGCTGGACCTGGAAAACTGTGGCCTGTTTATCATGAGGCGGTTTAGAAGCAAATGCCTTTGAGCTCTGGGTGCTTGTCTGTCTTTGGTCTGCTGTGTGACCACACATGTCACTCCCAGAGCTATTTCAAAGTAGACTGGCCACATTGTTGAGAAAATTTCACTTGAGTTCAGATTTTAAAAATGAAGTACACTTGGCCTCAAGAAGGGCCCAGCCAGACCTGATTGAGACAAAGGCAGAAACACACTTCAGTGTTAGACTAGCTTCAGGACAGATCAGTTCACTGATCTGGAAAGGACAAACCCTAAACACAGGTACACATCAAGGATCCCCAAGAGGGTTTTTTAAAATTAAGGCTCGTTTGTTTCTGCATTTAAATATTCTTTTAATAACTTAACTTCTTGATTACAAAAGTAGTACTTGTTCAGTGTAAAGACACTTGGAAAACACAGTACAAAGCCATGTCCATGTACTATCTGGAGGTAGCCCTTACATTTCCCTACCCCCAAACAGGTATTTACATTTTTTTTTTAAACATATGCTGTGCAGGTATGAAATAGCCTGCTCTCTAAGTAAGAATGTCACTAGCATTTCCCAAGTCAACATCAGTTTTAACGGGTTCATGTTATCCTCTTAGTACTTATTTTGGACATTCGATATTTCTAATTTTTATACTAAACATCCTTGTTACATTCATCTTAGCACTTTTCTCTGCTTGTTTCTTTGGTGGCTACAGCTCTCAAAGTGAACTGTTAGCATATCATGTGCATGTCTTCCTTCTGACAGGTAGTGCCATTCTCTCACCAACAGAGGAAGTGCTGGTTTCTTTATTCACAGGATAGCATGACTTTTTGCTTTTTCTTGGTCAGTGTTTGGTAACTTTCAGCCCGTCCTTCCTGAATCCTTGTTTGAGACCTTGTTATTCCCTTTTTTCTGGGGCAGAGTGGTACTCTGAAGACCGCTCTGCTGGATTACATCAAGCGTTGCCGCCCTGGGGACAGTGAAAAGCACAACATGATTGCCCTGTGCTTCAGCATGTGCCGAGAAATTGGGGAGAACCACGAGGCAGCTGCCTGCATCCAATTGAAATTGATTGATTCTCAACCCTGGGGTGAGCAGAGGTCAGGCAGCACCTCCAGGTAGTGCTGCCGACAGGAAAGGTTCTTACAAAGAGCTTGTGAAACTGGTACGGAGCTGGGCAGATAGATGGAAGGTGGGGAAAGGGGAGCCTGGAAGGCACTTAGCCTTCTTTGTAGCCTGTGCTTCCAAGGGTGCACTCATCAGAATATATATGCTTATGTATGCGCATCTGCCTTAATGGTGTGCTCAGCAGGGCACACACAGGAAGGGCAAGGAGTCCTACTCCAGAGTGGAGTTAGGGTGTGTGCACTTGTGACCCAATAGCCTTTTACTTAAGACATACTTGCTTCCCTGTGAACAGGAGCTAGATGCTTCTAGTTCTGCATACTACCATGGTTAAGTGGCTGGGCTAGGAGTCGACATACCCAGCAAACCTTTTTTTTTACTCCCTTGCAGATGACAGCCTCAAGGATGGGCACCAACTGAAGCAGCTGCTACTGAAAGCCCTGACTCTGATGCTGGATGCTGCAGAGAGTTATGCCAAGGTACGATGGTCTTATTCCAGACTGACTGGCCCTAAGACAGTGTCTGCAGTAGGATTTTGTCCAGTTCTTCCAACTAAGGGTGATCCGGGTGAGGGAGTGGGTGTTTGTGAGCTAACCAACGGCAGAGGGGTGTTCAGTTGCTGGGTTAAGTCCATGGAAATTATGGCAACAAAGTTTCTCCACTTACATCTCCTTCCACCTTTGTCCCTCAAGGACTCCTGTGTGCGACAGGCTTTGCACTGTCACCGGCTCACTAAGTTGATAACACTGCAGATCCACTTTCTGAACACTGGCCAGAACACAATGCTCATCAATTTGAGCCGCCACAGGCTGATGGACTGTATTATGGCCCTGCCTCGGTTCTACCAGGTGAGCAAGGAAGAAAAATCCAGCTAGCACTGCCAGCTTGCACCTTCCTGCTGTCCCTCTTGCAACTCAGACCAGTGACAGAACCAAACACTCCATTTCTCACCTGGCTGCTTATTACCTTCTCGTGGCAGAATTTAGTAACACATTGTTCAGGCAGAGGTACTGGTAAGTTGGTATTGCTGCCTTCCCTACAAGATTAGCTCAGCAGGAAGGCACTCACCTGTGACCCTTAAACAGTTGAGGTTCAGAGAACATCCCAGCTACTGGTCCAAGAACTTCTCTTAGACCTGGCATTTCTAGAATGGTGCAGCTGGGTTAGCTTGAGTCAAGGCTTCTTCAAGGCTGTTTCAACCACTTCACTGTGTATAGTTGATTTAGTGAGGAAAGTACTTCTTTCTCAGCACCTTTATTCTTTCTTAGCAGTTTTATTAAACCATTGTGAAGACACAACACTTCTCACCATCCCTGGTTCATAGACCTTTTTAAACATAATTGGTAACGATCACATTCACTGCAGCAGTGTGTACAGTATAAAGTTTTGTAGCATAATTTGTCTTTAGTTTATACCAAGTAGGTTCTAACAGTGTCTTCCTCCATCTTTTTAAGGCTTCTATTGTGGCTGAGGCCTATGACTTTGTTCCTGATTGGGCCGAAATTCTATACCAACAAGTGATTATTAAGGGAGACTTTAATTATTTGGAAGAATTTAAGCAGCAAAGGTTATTAAGATCCAATATATTTGAAGAGATTTCAAAGAAGTAAGTACTCAAATGCCTCTGCTTTAGGATAAGATAGTTAAGAATTTTATGGTTCAGTCTAACATGCCTATGAGCTTCCTCTGCTTAAGATGGCTGAGAGTTTAAGGATTCCTGTACGGAAGAAATCTTTCCACAAATTTATACAAACAGATGACTGAGGACAGCTTGCTTATGGTGTTTTGTACTTAAAATGAGAGGATAGCAAGTTGTCGTGCCTTGGTGCCCAAAACTATAAACTTGAGAGATCCTCTGTGGAGTACTACACTTTTGTTAATTAAGGTGAGCATTAAGACAGTCATTTTTAATGAAGTAACTTAAGCATTTACAAGGCACCACTATGATTACTATAAGGTCATTTTCCCAGTACCCTTTCCTCTGTAGGTAGTGATAGTGTCAGAGCTAACAGTCCTCACTCAACAGATAGAATCTCAACCTGTACTTATGTTTTTATGCAGATACAAACAACATCAGCCTACTGACACAGTTATGAAAAACTTGAAGAAATTACTCACATATTGTGAAGACATCTACTTATATTACAAGCTGGCATATGAACACAAATTTTATGACATTGTAAATGTGCTTCTGAAGGACCCTCAAACAGGTTGCTGTCTAAAGGACATGCTAGCAGCTTAGCAGGATTCAGGTAATACAAGGTGTCACTGCCAAGATTTCTTAGGTGCCTGTTCAACTGAAATGAGGTACTGACAGATGTTTATGATCAGAATAGAATATACTAGAGCTCTTTGAACATACCAGTTCTTAGTAGTGGGTAAAGGATGATAGAATTTTCATAGGGAAATTGGTATTAAGAGCAAAAGCTCCATGTTCCTCAGGATGGCTTCTCCTTTTGAGATAAAATACTAAGCAAAGAATACCTGTGCCTGCATATTCCAGTTTCAAAGGAATTTAATATTATTTACACAGTTAAGGAACAGATGATACATTTCCATTTGTTAGAAACTGATCTCTATAATAAAATAGATTTTAAATTCATTTATCATTATTACTGCTAAGGAAATCTTAGCCCTTGTCTGCCTTAAAATAATTTTTGTTATAATTATTGCTGTGTAGTCACTGCTTTGTTAATCTTAAAATCATTTAGATGGTCCTGTTCTTCCACTTAGTGGTCTACAGAGCTTTCGGCTCCTTATTTCCTATGGAGAAATTAAAATCACTTTAAATTCCATCCCTATTTTTGATTGTGACAGTTAAAAAAATAAAACTCCAACCACAAATTTGGTTAAATCACTTGAAAGACAATATATAATATAAAGATCATCACCCAGTCTGTTTACAGCCATAACCTGAGTTATAAGCTCAATTACTCCAAATAAATAGTTTTTAGATAGTTAGGCCTTGGTACCTAAACAGATAAATTTCCCAAAATAAATAAAAAGGCAGTTTTTTTATATACCATTGTTGCTCAAAGGTAACACTATTAAGGACCCAGCAAATCATTTTTGTTGTAATGCTGTAACTACCTGTCACACATTTACTAAGTGTTACAAGTATTAGAGAACTCTAGTCCCAAGAGCTGTGTTCTATATTCTTCAAAAATATCTCTTGGGAGGTAACACAAATTTAAGTCCTCACAATAGTGATTTTATTAAATTAGTTGCTTTATAAAACATTGCAGATGTCATAATTGTTAACATAACAATTTACCAAACTGTAGTAACTGGTGCAGTTTGCTGAGCATGTTTTATAAAGGAAAGGAAATGCCAAAACCCTGTTAAATTGTTTCATTGCAGCCTAGGAGAACAAAGGAGATTTGTTTCTCAGACACTTAAAATCAGGCAAATAAAACAGGTAAAGGGTTTCCCTCCCCCGTATGAAGCACTCCATCAGTAGAATAGTTGATAAATATAAAGAACTGGACAGTTTATGCAGTCAAGAGATTCCACAACTTATAACGCAATAATGGAGAGGTTTACCTTCTTCAGCTTCAAAGTTGGAGGATTTTGGTCACTTAATTTTTAAGTTTCAAACTAGTGCTTTGCAGCCGTCGTATCTTCACTGAGATAAGTCTTCTCCACAATTTTTTTTAATATCCTCACGCTCAATTTTAAGACAAAGCAATTTTAATACTAGGTGCACACCACATGCCCTTGCTGCAAACTGCTTTTCTTGACAAGTTATGAAGTAGTTCAAGGAGGTATGGTTAAGGCTGTATTACTGAATGGTGCTGGTAAATACTACACAATTTTTTTTGTCATGTTGCAACCTTTGTTTCCAATTTAGTAACTGTTGCTATGGAATCAGACAGCAACAATGACAACATTATTAGAATTGATTTTAAAACTATGATTTAGTAGCAACTGAGGTTCCCAATTTTAACCCCTTGGCAGCAAGATCCAAGTTCCCTCATTTGCACATTAGCACCTAAGAGTCAAGGGGTTAAATAACCAGCACAAAAGATACTGCACTTCTGATTGTAGCATTTGGCAGAACTGAAAGGAAAGGAAGTTGTGCTACATGTTGAAGGGATTGTGGGCAACAGAAAGACACCAGAGAAGGTAAAATGTCACATGAAGTCTTCAAAGTCTTGTACATATCCTCCATCATAACCACCATAATCTGCCAGATCGTCTTTCATGGTGGCCTTTAATCCCCCTCCAGGAACCACACCTTTCTTCTTCTTTTTGGCTTTGCTTTGCTAAAGATGAAAGAGAGTTTGGTCAAGAGACTTTATGGCATTTTATCAGGTACAGCAACTCCTACAGAGACACCAAAGCCTCCATTCCCAGAAAAACTTTAGTTCTCTAAAAAAAGAGCCCAGACCTAACCTGGTAACCATGTCTGTAAACAAAAGAAAGTAATGGCATGCACAGTCCTTTTCAATTCCATTTTAAATGGTGAACTGCTTAGGTCCAATTCTTTCATCTGTTAAAGAGTATCATGCCCACACCCTCCACCCCGACCTTCCCCCAATCCCTATTTAATACATTTTTATACCCCCCAGATTTGCTTTTCTTACCTTTTCCTGCTTCTGTTTTTCACTGCAAAGTACAGTCAATGAATTGGTTATCTTTTTCAAATCATCGATTTCCACTACAAAAAATAATAACAAACCACTAATTTTTAAGCATTTGGGGGGTAAATAAAAGCACAAAACACATTTTTCCACAAGAGCCATGAGAAATATAGCCTGCTATTAAGTTTGCTAACACTAAAAAGGAGGTAACTGGTCCTATTTCACATAACATAGTAAAGAAATCATTTAGTTTACAGCTAGGCTCACAAATCAAATTATTCGAAGTAAAATGGCAACTCAACCACCAATACATTTTACCAGGGGTCTCTCTGCAGCTCACAGGCTGCCTACCATCCTTCCTCACTCACTATAGGACATCCCTGTGCTTCCATAACACATCCTAGATACCTAGTTCAGTGAGGAATAGCTGAATAAACATGGAATAGCAATTCTAAAAACTACAGATGACAACTCCTCACCTCCTGGAGTCTTATTTTCTAGCCACATGTATCTTAGAAATCTTAGCATCCTACCAGGAAGGAGATAAAACTGTGCAAGTGGATATTACTTTCTCATAAAACTATAAAGCTGCAAACAAATGCCAGTTTTAAGTCACCAAAAAAATATTCAGTTTTGAAAGCATTCAGAGAGCACCTTCAAAAACAGGACACAGTATATTCAGAATACAGCTTTAGTGTATGAATAGAAAATAAGAGTTCACCATCCACAGCTTAGTAACTTCTCAATGAAATCCAACCGAAAATTTATTGTGTAGAATACCTTTTTCTCAAACTTAAAAACAAAATACTAGCAAAACCAGTGCCTTCCACAGAGTGCCACACCACCCCTAGTTTTCACCCCCACACACCCTGCCCACAATGTATGACTCCTCTCAGGACATGGCACCACACCCATGGACCCAGAAAATGGATACTAGCTCTTGTTGAGCAACTTGAACCCAGTCAGAGCTTCCTCATTTGTAAAATGAACATATATAATAGTCTCACCTTCTTCTAAACTCCTGTATGCCTAGAGACCATTTCCAGAAAAAGAGCCTTCTTACTAGCTTCTCTTATAATTAAAGAATAAGCTAATGATAAGCTAACGTTTTCTTAGCTGCTATGCCAATAAGCCCAGCTCTCTTTTAGAAGCCAAAATAAAAACATTAAGGTAGCTTCAAAAACAATACCATGGTTAACTCATATTTTTGTAGAACAACATTCTCAATGTAACTACCAATAAAGCAAAATCCTGAATCAATATTACAGCATCTGAATAAATCAACCGCTATCCTCCTATGATGGGCCCTTACTAAATCCATCCATAAGGACTGGAGAATTACTTACATGAAATACACACATCTCGAACTAAGGCTTCCAAAAAACTGGCGTAATATAGTGACTTCTCATATTGTGTAATTTTATCTTTTAGTAATTTTCCAAACTCTGTGAAATCATCTCTTGAAGATGGGTTCATAGCATCTATTCCATAAACTGTATTATTAACACCTGTAGGAGAAAGGAAACACTGAAAACATCAGAATTTTTAATAGTTTTATAAAAACAAACTATCTAAATAATCCTATTTTTTCCTTACTTATTCTAAAGCAGAGATTCTTAACCAGGGTCCACCGGAGTCCTTGGACAGAATTCAAGAGATATGTGAGTTTGTATGGGGCGGAGGGGGGAATCTCAGTTTTCTTTTTATTAACCTCTAGTACTTCCTAACATTTTGATTACAAGAAATAACCACAGTGTTTTTAGCAAAACCTGATTGTAATCAAGAGATCAGATACTTGCCTATAACATTACTTTTACTGAAGATAACTTGAAATAATCTTCATCTTTCAAATTATATTACTCGTTAGACCTGCCACTAGATTTTAGCTAATGCAAAAAGCACAAAACTGTATTACTAATTAAGATGTTGATACCACTTTCAGTATAACAAACTTCCTGTGTAAGTAAAATCCTACATCTTTTAAATGTTTCAGAACATTATACTGATAAAGGGGCCACTGACTTCAACCAGACTGCTAAAGAAATCCCTCACACAAAAAGGATGTCCTTAAAGAGCCTATTTAAGAAGTGCACACAATGAAGAAGCAAAAGAAAAAAGCAAAGCAAAACAAAACTGGCTCCTGTCAAAGCATCTAGCCACCTAATTTAAAAAGCTAAGCAGGGATAAACTATGTTAAATTCAATACAACAATTAATCTGGCCTAAAAGTGTCTAGGCTAAAAGACGACTACATTTCTGTATCCACCTCAATATCAAGTTAGCTAACGTCACTGATTCATTATTTTAGTATGAAAAATACAACATTAAAATTCTGCTAACCAAACAAAGACTGTACGAATGCGTGTTTTTGCCTTTAATAAATAAGTGGTGTCCCATATATAAGGTTTTATGAGTAGCCTATAAAGCCTTCTCTTTAACAAACACACTGTTTGCTTTTCACATCCTATGAAGACACAGGATAATAGCAGTGTCTCCTCTGTAATGAGACAAGGGTAATTGAGACATGCCAAGCATACCAGTGTACAGGATCATTCACAGTAACTCTTGAGATTGCTCGAGACCCACTGAGAAATAGTCTTAAAAATAAAAGTGATAAAGGAAGAATGGTTACTAGTTAGCCCACTTGGTCCATTTTAAAGAGGAAACATTAGGGAAAAATCAAGGTAACTAGGTCCTTCTTGGCACCAGATTTCAAATTTATTCAGCACTTTTAAATATGACCCTGTACTCTGAAAATTATTTGATAAGTAGTTACCAAAAATGTGGTAAAAGGAAGTTGAGAGTTTTTAACTGTTCTTTCTTTACCCACGTCTCTTATTTTATCCATCTGTGCTACATAACTCTGCTAGCACATTGTGACTTAAAGGATCTTGAATATTCACCCTTACATCTCATGTATTAACCACAGTTATAGGCAATACAGACAAAAATTTTGGAAGCTCTCTGAGGATAGGTCATGGTGAGTGAGGGCGGAGAAGGACAACAGAATGAAATGATCTTGAGCACAAGAGGGCAAAAGCCTAAGTTGAATGCCTGATCAAGATCAAGACCAGTATGGTATTGTCTAATTCCTACACAGACTGAAGACAACAAGCCAGTTTTCTAGTAAGTTCAATATTTAAATCTCACAACTCCAGACTTCAAATTTTGTCCAAATTTTATCCAGCTGATAAATATAGTCAAAGGAGTATTCTTTATTTTGTACCTAGTGACTTTTAAATCTGAATTCCCAATGCTTAAAACGTGTTCAAAAATCTGAACATCATAGTCAACCTTCTTATATGTAATGAAATCTCAAACAAGATTAAAAGCTGCTTTCTAATGTCTAAAATTAGCCACTATCACGTTTCTACAAAAAAGATGTTTTCTGAACTTTCATACCTACTGAGACATTCACATGGAGCTTCATTATTACACTGCAATCACACTCCCACTTACCAAAAGTTTCTTTTGCTAATTCAAGGTCTGACTCTTCCTGTAATTTCTTTAGCCGTAGTTTATCTGCTAACTGTTCTTCTGGTGATAGTACTTTAGGTTCTTCAGGTTCTTCTAACTAATGAAAAAAGTTTTAAAAGTGGTGAGATGAGATAGACTCAGTAAATATCTTTATAGTATGACTTTTCAATAAGCACGTATTAATAAACACTTAGAAAGTGATTAATATATTTCAGGCATTATTCTAAACCCTTAGCTATTTTTATCCCAATTTTATAGGAATAAAAAGGCACTAAGAGGTAAAGCAACCTGCTATGGTAACAGATTGTCAATATAGCTAGTATTCTGATAGTGATGAGATTTGACCCCAGTTTGAACCTGGAAAGATAAGATTATTTCTATAGCCTTAAAAAAAAAAAAAAAGAATTATATGCAAAGCAAAAATGGCACTATCACATACTTCTAAGACTACATATTCTAACAAACTTTCTAGGGCTATTTGGCAGTATGTATCATCTTAAAATACTTTTGAACCCTCTCTAAGGCATTTACCTTTTTTTTTTTTTTTTTTTTTTTAATATTTGTTTATGCATATAGAACTGGGGTATAGGCCAGAGGCACAGGGGCAGTAAGAAGATTCAGCAGAGTGGGGAACAGAACAGGCACATCGAGGATGTACACTGCTGAGGAGAATGGGCGAGACAGAAGTCTGCCGAGCCATGTGGATCACTTCTGGGGCTGGGGCTCGAACTCACACTGAAGTGGCTGCGGCTAACCTGTTGTGCCACCAGGGAGGGCCTCTTAGGTATTTATCTTAAGAAACCAAGCATTTCACCAAAAGGATATTCACCAGTGCATTACTTATTTCAAATAAATTTACAATAAAAATGTTCCACAGGGGGCCCTCCCTGGTGGCGCAGCGGGTTAAAGCACAGCACTAAGAAACTTAAAGCCACTTCAGCATGAGTTCGATCCCTGCCTGCCCTGGAAGTGACCACATGGAACAGCAGACCTCTCCTGGCCTGCCCACTGCTCCCTTCAGCAGTGTACTTCATTGATCTGCCTGTTCTGCTCCCCACTGTCTCTGGTGAAGCCTCTCACCATCCCTGCACCTCTGGCCTGTACCCCAGTTCTGTATGAACAAATAAATAAATCTTAAAAAAAAAAAAAAGTTCCACAGAATGGTTAAACAGAATATGGCATATTCATGACAATACTATGCAAATATAAAAAGCAAACTTTTTGCAAAGTACCCAATAAACATTTCCAACTTAATCTTTTAATCTTTATCATATTATAAAAGTAACAAATTAAAAATTGTAGAATTTAACTTCTGCAAAGTAAAGAATATCTGCACAGACACAAGAAGCAGAAAGAGCTGCCCTTGAAAGGCGTAAGTCTGTTAAAAGACGCTTGATTGGGCCCTCCCTGGTGGTGCAGCAGGTTAAAGCACTGCACTAAGAAGCTTAAACCACTTCCACATGAGTTTGATCCCTGCCTGCCCCGGAGGAGATCCACATGGCATGGCAGACCTCTCCTGACCCGCCCACTGCTCCCCTTAGCAGTGTACTTCCTCAATCTGCCTGTCCTGCTCCCGCTCTGTCTCTGGTGAATCCTCTCACCCTCCACATCTCTGGCCTATACCACAGTTCTGTACAAATAAATAAATTTTAATTAAAAAAAATAAAAAGATGCTTGTATAGACAGACACAGGTGGACAGGGATGGAGCTACCGTATGCTGCTTTGCAAAGGAAAAGGTTGGTGGAAGAGAAACACCTACACAGTCACAGGCAAGCAGAAGAGCTGCTACACTACTTTTATTATGAAAGGCAAGAGGAATGTGTGCCATTCATGGTTTCCCATGTCTGCAGTTTGAGGAATTTGATTCAGAAATCCACTTCTGAAATAAATTTTGTTTCTCATATGAGGATGAAATGAGAAACAAAGGTCATTATGCCAAGTTAAGAAAACTCATTTTCCAAATAGGAAAAGGAAAAACCTGTCTTAGTAGCCTTGAACATTAAGTATATGCTGCATTAAAATGAATATATTGAACCTAAAACAAACTGAGCACACTCAAAGTTTATGTGATTAGTATCAAAATACAAAATAAGTATAATTCTGATCATGACAACCAAGAAAGAGCCAATGAATATCATGGCAACCCACAGATTTTTTAAAAAGATACTGAAATGCAAATTATTAAAAAGCCTCTAACAATGTTCCTGACTGGGAGAAAAAGGATACACTTGCCATTCAAACTAGTACAACCCCATATGGAGGACAATTTGGAAACATTCATCAAGATTACAAAAATGTCATTTTCTGTTTGATCCAGCAGTCTTATGCTTAACATTTTAGCCTACAAACATGGCTATACCCGTTAAGGGATGACATACATGGCCATTCAAGGGAGTACTGCTTATCAATCTATAAACAGAAAACTGGTGAAAAAATGCATGATACATGATACAGACAATGGAATATGTAGCTCTCTTCCACCCACCAAAATTGAATAACCCAGAAACTAACGAAAGCGGCTTCTTAAAAGGAGTGATAGAGGAGTGACAGAGAAGATGGGAATGGATATCTGAAACTGCGTATACCATTTTTGTATTGACTTCTGAAAAGACAGCATGTTTAGAGAAACAGAAATAAAACCTTAAAATGGAAAGCAAACTAGTGTCTCAAAAGTATAACAAACTTGACACAATGACAGAAAATAATTCAAATGACTCTAGAGCCCAGTACATGCTTATACATCCTTAATAATATACAGCCTAAGCCCACAAAGAATTTCAAAAAACTAAACTTTACATTATTAATTATAGAAAAACAAGTAATTATTACGTTGTTAGTATTAAAATGCAAGTAATTAAGTTAACTTTAGAAAACAGGATTTCACGATAAGAAAACATATCAATAGGACTAAGATTACACACACATTTATTTCCTAGTTCCATCCAAGAAAAGGAGTCTAGAAGGCAAGGCCACCCAGTAAAATACTAAGTACTATTAACACTGAGATTGGGTTTTTAAATATCATTTCCCAGTATAAAGGAACCTTAGAGATGCAGCTGATTTTAGGCCTAAGGAAAGCAGGTCAGCAGGTAAGCCTGGTACTTCTTAGTGGACCAGGAAACAAAAAGAATCATGGAGTCTTGTCAGTGAAGATGAGGATAAGAAGCCCCTATAAAGGCACCTACTGGCCAAATTTGGGTCAATTTTGCAACAAAAAACTGATCACTGTATCTAAATAAAATAATGATTTATAAAGGTTTCTAAGTCTGTAAGTTTACTCAAAAATGCTCAAAAGAGAAAAAAGCCAGGGCCCCACTGGTGGCACAAGAGGTTAATTAATTCTCAGCACTATCAAGCTATCACCTGCCACTGCAGCATGACTACTATCTCCAGCCAGGCAGATAACCCGCACAGGACAGCCTGTTGCTCTTCTCAACAGTGTGTTTCAGTGGATCAGCTTGTTCTACTCCCCACTCTGTCTCTGGTGAATCCTCTCACCACTCCTACACTTCTGGCCCATACTCCAGCTCTTGTATGCATAAATAAATTAAAATCTTTAAAAGTAAAGGGGAAAGGGTGGAAATAAAATTTAAAAAAGATAAATAAAAGTTCCCACAAAGTCCCCCATTTTTTACCACTGAAGTTACTTATTACATTCTCCTTACACTGAACATTGGTACTTAAGGACAAGAATTAATGTTTTGCTCTGCTCAATATAAACCATATTAAAAGTAACCAAATAACAAAAGAAAAAAGCCAGCCAATAAATGAAAGAGAATGAGAAAAATCACCATTGTATAATCCCCATAAAAATGACCATCAATAATACCAAAGCTGTTGGGGAGGGGGTTGATGTTAATATAAAATGGATTGCTTGCAAGAAGAAATAAGTAACTTTACAAAAGAATCAGGCTGCTAACCACCATAACTAAGTGATCCATTTTAGCATCACTACAACAGGAGAAACTGCATGGCTCCTGATGGGAGGTGATGCAATTATGAAGCACACAACATCACTTTTAAAGTAGTCCAACCAAAATTTTCATGTTTAACACCAAGTTACAGGAAATTACAACCACAAGGGAGCAGTCAAACAAAATTTAGATGGTGGGATATTGTGGAAGATAACTGGTCAACTCTCTTCAACAAATATTTCAAAGCAATAATGAAACATAGGATATGCTAACAAGCGCTATACAAGGCCCTTATATGAACCATTCTTACATAAAGGACTTTCTGGCACAATTAGGAAAATTGTCTGTATAGACTATCAATTAAAATATTGTTCATTATATTGTGTATGGAATCATATTAATTTACCTTACATTTTTTTAGATCATACTAACGTAGTTAAAGATAAAATGAAGGTTTGCTATTTGATTATATTTTAGCAAAGGAAGAATAAAACATGGCAAAATACTAATTAATTTAGATGATGTGAATGATTGTTCATTATGCTATCTTCCCTAGGCTTGAAATTTTTTTTTAAATGAAAGTCAAGGAAAAATAAGGAAGCTCTCTGTGATAAGATATACAAAGATCTCATGACAAAGCAAGGTGAAAACTAAAAAAAGGGAGAAATAAGAATACACTAGTTACACCCAAATACATAAAGACACCTTGAAGACACAAAAAAACAGTTTTGACTTCTGGGGTAGAGGATGAGCAATAATATAAATAAGTGAGAGTTGAGAATGCTTCTTAATACAGCTTTGATTTTTGAATTATGTGAATTTGTTTTCTATTCAGTAAACAATATTCACATATCTTGTACAAATAATCAAGAGCAAAAACACTTATAGTATGTGGCAGAGAAACTGACACCTTTTGTAGTTTACTCAATATGAATAATACTGCAAATAAAGACTAATCACAACTAAAAATAAAGCCACTAACTAAAAAGTCATCAACTCTGATCAGTACATACTCACGACTGTTTCCAATTTTGGTAAAAACTTAAAAGGCATTCTAATACATAGAGCTGCAGGGTTCAGTTTTTGCAAAAGCCACCATCAGTCAGTTTAAGAATTTAGTTACTGGGTGGTTTACAGTGTTCATAAAGTCCTTCAAATTGCTAGGCATATCTGCTGCCTGTTAAGACACTAATGATGAAAACCCTGTTTTCTATGAAAATTTTTAGAACTGAATAGTACTCACCCTCTTTTTAATTTCTTCTTGCCTTTTCTTCTGTTGTCGTTCTTTCTCTTTTATCTTCTCTGCTATTTTTTTCTTTTCTGAAATTTTTACTTCTGAAAGTAAAGAAATGTTCTAATCCATTATCCTACTTTTCAGTTTATGGATGAAACAGACATGATACTTCAAGAGACCAAACTTCTCTCTCCCACTCCAAATATCATATGGTGATTTTCTGGCAAATAAGATGGGAAATGTTCTGGGACTCTTCCTTTTTCCTTATTCTGACCCTAAAAGCCCAAACCAAGTATTGCTTTCATGTTTTCCTCACAAACTTTTAGCAGGGCTCAGATCATTCAACTGTGATGCCAAACTTACTCTATCTTAAGTGAGACGAGGGTTTAGAAAAGATGCAAGGAGAAGACAATAAAGTAGGAATGGAAGAATGTTTGATTTCTAAAAGTCAAAATCTAATTTTGTGAGCACTGTGTCATTTGTCTTAATGTAAGCAGTGATGCTCATCAAGACATAAAAACCAAAATTGAAGGAGCCCCAGTGGCTCACCTGGTTTTACTTCTGCTTCCTCTTTTTTTTCTTCATCATCGTCATCCCAGTTATCCTAAAGAAAAAGACCTCCATTAATAATACTTGCATATTTACTTTTCCATGTCAACTTCAGTACTATCACGGATTTTCTAGCGCTTTTCAAATATAAAAACTAGCTTTACAATTCTTCACTAAATCCTACACCCCCACACTGACTTATCTAATTGTATTAGTTAAAACCCTAGCATAAAGTTGAATACTGGGAGATAAAATAGGTATCATCGCCTTTTCTCTGAATGGAAATTACCCTAACATTTCCCCATGTAATGCTATGTAATACTACCATATTCACTAAAATTTAGATAGCCTTTGGATTTCAAGTCAGTTATAAATCTTTTTTTTTTAAAGATTTATTTGTTTATGATTACAAGAACTGTGGTACAGACCAGAGGTGCAAGGGGTGAGAGGATTCACCAGAGACAGAGTAGGTGGCAGAACAGGCGAGACAGGAGAGGCCTGAGAGGCCTGCTGCGCCCCATGGCTCACCTCCCTGGTTGAGAATCAAACTCGGGTGCCAGTGGCTGAGGATAGCTTCATCAAGGAATTTTCTTCTAGAAGGGCATGTTTCAGTTATTTTTTGATTTAGATCCCTGATCCATTTAGTGTTTTCTTCTTTTGTATGGTATGAAGTATGAATCTAATTTTATCTTTTTAAAAACAGTTGCCTAGTTATCACAGTATCATTTATCAAAAAGTCTATGTTTGCCCTGTGATTTAACCACAGACTAAATTATAGGTATTTGGTCTTTTTCTATTTTCTAGTCTACCCCAATGGTATATTGTCTCTTCATCAACTAGTACCATACTATTTTAACAACAGAGGCTTTAAAGTATGTTTTAATGTAATCCATTGCTAAGTCTCCCCACTAGGTTATCAAGTTTTTCTTTGTTGAACTGGCTATGTTTGCTTTTCCATATGAACTTTTATGTCAACTTCTCTTACTCCCTAACAAAAGCTTCCCAACAAACACACAGACAACTGAGCCAGGACAGCCTCTTTTAAAGTACTATACTAACTAGTGTTTCAAATTAAAAAATTGAGTCCATTATATTTATTATTCCAAATGTAAAACAGCCCACATTCTAGCCAATGGCTCAATTATTTCAAGTGATGTTCCATATATCACAGTCCTCATTAATGAATTTAAGTCCAGTAAAAAGAACCAAGAATTATCAATAAGCTTCATGATTCACTCCTTACCTTGGGAATGAGGTAAATCTATACTCTGACTTTTTATGACTAACAGAGCTCCTTACTTAACTGAACTAAATATAAGGCAATTATCAAAGTTTTCTAAAGGCTCCACAGAATTTTCAGATGGTTTAATACAAGATAGGGCCTCTCTGGTTGCACAAGGGTTAATTCTTGGCACTATCAAGCTATCACCAGCCACTGCAGCATGAGTTCAGTCAGAGAGTTGATCCACATGGCATAGCAGACCTCTCCTCTCTTATCAGCTGTTACCCTCAGCAGTGTATTTTAAGTCAATCTGCCTGTTCTGCTCCCCACTCTGTCTCTGGTGAATCCTCTCACTGTCCCTGCACCTCTGGCTTGTACCCCAGTTTTGTATGCATAAATAAACCTTTTTTTAAAAAATGCGTAATACTAGATTGATCTAGCCCTATATTTAAACAGGACTTTATAGGCAGCCTCACCACTGTAACTCAGCATCTGAAGCTGAGCCACAACATAAAATAGCAGATGCAAAGGAAGTCCAATGCTACTGGAAGTGGCAAAGGCTGATTAATGTGTTATAACTATGACACCAGCTTCTGGTTTTATAACAAGACACATCATAAACCTGAATCAGTTTAGGCATATAAACTAACAAGTCTTAATTCTTTGAAAAATCTACAAGTCCACCAAAGAAATAAAAATTCCTGAATAAGGTTGTCAAGAGTCTGCACGCAGAGCAGGAAGATCTTTGTATAGAAGTAATCAATTTTATAACCACTTTACCTTGGCAATTTAACCCACAATTAACAGAAATAAAACAAGCTAGTCAGTACTGTTAGAACATCTAAGTTACTAGAGTTAGGTATTAGAGATCAAACGTTTATACTCCCTTACTAGTTTGCTTAAGTGCTTATACCAAAATACCACTGTACAAAAGGAACCAGAGAACTAAAAATAAAAGTTAACTACCAGGCATTTTCTGTTGTTTTGATCTTCACAGACAGGAAAGCTGGGTTTGTGAATGATATGCTACTTAGGCAATGCTTCAGATAGGAAGACCATCTGCTTACTTCCAGGTTACATATTTACAACTCTCTCATAATAACAGTGATGATGATGATGAGAATAAAAAGCACTCACTGAGTGCTTACTTTGCATCAGGCACTGTAAAAAGGGCTTTACATGTAAATAGTTCTCATATTAGTCCTATAAGCAAAGTGTTACCCCATTTAAAAGGAAACTTGTGAGATATAGCTACCTTACAGTATCAGCAAAAAATAATGAAGGAACCTATTTTGAACGAACCAAAGTTCCTTGAAAAAGTCACATAAACATGACTTTTTAACCTTAGTCCTGATGAATAACATAATTATCTAAGAATTAAGTCTGCCCCACCAAAATTTGTTCTTTCCATTAGTTCTAGAATGAGCTTACATGGACGCACAGGAAATGTCATCAAAGAGAAGGGTTGCAATACATACTAAGAACGTATGTCCAGTGACAATGATACCAGTCACCCACCTTAAAACCTCAAATTACCTGTGATGGTTGTTTACTAATTTTAAGAAGCTAGTCTAGCAGCCTCAGTACAAGGATGGGAGAGGTTGAAAATAAGTGGTTTCATCCCAAGAACTTCAACATAGAAAGATCATCCCACCTCACCACATCACTGCTCCCTCAGCATTTCATTCACAATTCTGTCCACCTCTATCCTGAGTTCTCCAATAGCAGCATAAACCTTATCCCCAGACATTATGATTAAACTTCATCACAGTACAGACTTAACAAGCTACCTAGAATTCTAACAGATGATGGATTTCAGTAGCAAAAACAGTAGTTTCTATCAAGTCCTGGGAACAGCCATAAAAAGATCACAAAAGGTAAATCTTGCTTGTCCCCCTTATCCCTGAGCAACTTAAACAAGGTTATCCTGAAGTTACAATCATTCTGAGATGTCCCTAAGGGAGAGATTATAGTGATATCAGCAAAAAGAGACTGGTAAAATTTTCAAATAGATGTAATCTCTAAAATGCCAGTTCAGGTAGCTTTCCTCAGGAACTTCCAGTTTTTGTTTCCTTAGTTACATATACTTATATATAAAATTTGCAGGTACCCCAAAAGTAAATGTAAGGTAGAATGGCTAAATCTGTCCAATTTTCTATAAACACTAGGAATCTGTATATACAAAAAACTTGGCAAAATGCAAAGTGGATTCCTAGACAAACACCTAAAACTGACACTTAAAATAGTAAGTATATAGGTTAGTAAACTCTAAATTGGCCAAGAGGCTATTTATCAATATCCAATTAAATACCTCACCCAATTACTTTGGGTAGCCAATAAAAATTCCAACTATAACATCAAAATCATCTCCAAAGAATCACACAGTCTGCTCAACATAAACTGACTAGTTTCCTTAGACAGAAGCTGTTTACAAACTACTTGCTTATCTATACTCCTGTTCTGCAGATCCACACCCAATATGTGAGACATTTCTCTGAAAGAGATAGCTACTTTCAAATTTTAAAACCTGCTTCCCAGTTGGACACAACTAAGAAATGAAAACAAAACAAACATTTACAACCCTGTTTTCCTTTCATATCTAATAATATGGCCAGTAGTTGGCTAGTCAGTCATTTTTGTAAAGTACAACTTCAGGATGTCACATGCAATGAGAGACACATTGCAGGTTGGAAATGCCTTCCAACTTAAGCAAGATATATTTATAGATCATCAAATAGAAAAGCTTCAAAAGAGAAGTAAAATTCTTCTGCTCTATTGCAATAACCCATCAACTAACATATTATTCCATACCTTTAAGCAGCTTGCTTTAGATAAAACATAACTTCTTCCAGAAGTTCTAGTGTTCTATACGCTGCATGCAACTCTCTAAGAGGCCTCAGAATTCTGTAATGAACTCCTGGCAAGGCTAGACTTCCCAGCAAAGTTCAGTTATTTTAAAAGGCCCAAATATTCTTCCATCATCTCAGAAGTATGCTAGTCTCTGAAAGCAGGGTACATGCCTCAGTAATTCTACTTCATTTTATTCAAATTACCAAGTTTTTAATGCCCTATTAAATATGGCACAGCACTCAGCTGAAATTCACCTCAAAGGCCAACCTTTCTCATTTGGCATTATTAACAATCAGTTTTATTTTACATTCCTGGCTAAGCAAGATCAAGATACTGAAACTATAAACAAGTGGCTTTATTTATATTTAGTGGTCCAACATTTCAAAAACATTAAGTATAGGTAAACATTTTTCAATAACAAAGCAAAGTGCTCACATACTTCCTAATTAAAAACTTACTAAAAAGTCAGGGAAATGACGTATGGTTGGTACTTTCTGCAAAATAATCTGGTTGACAAGGAGAGCAATAAAGATATATAGAAAAAATAATATTGTTTGTGGGTGCACTAACCAATTCCACTTCTGTAGAGGTCTGAAAACTCTCAACCTATTTCCTGGCAAAATGTCCACTGTCTGTAAGTATTTCCCAATAATGGCTCATTTCTCTGAAAAAGATATGGCCTTCTTCTGAAGTGATATTTCCAATGATTAAAACAATGCCCTTACTCTGGCAGATATAAACTATTAAGTGGGGGCTCTCCCTGGTGGTGCAATGGGTTAAATTTCAGCACTGCAAGCTAACTACAGCAGCTTCAGTACAGTTCCATCCCCCATCGGGAAGTGACCCACATGGCATGGCAGACCTCTCCTGACCTGCCCACTGCTCCCCTTAGCAGTGTAGTTCAATCACTCTACCTGTTCTGCTCCCAGCTCTGTCTCTGGTGAAACCTCTCACCGCCCTTGCACCTCTGGCTTATACCCCAGTTCTGTATGTATAAGTAAATATTTTTAAAAAGATATAGTCTCTTAAAAAACAAGGGGCGGGGGG